TGAATCAGGTTGCACCAAAATCTGTCCTGAAAGGCAAATCGGGCATCCATTTAGTTTTTGATTCATACACTGATTCTTTTCGTGGGCGTGTGTGTGATTTCCAGGAGCTGACCGAAGAAGGACTTCCCTTCCTCATCTTGTTCCATCTTAAAGAAGATTCTGAAAGTTTAGAAACGTTCCAGAATGAAGTAACTCGACAGCTCATCAGTGAGAAAGGTAGGCAGCATTTAGAAGATGTTGTCAATTTAGATTTTAATCAGTCACAACTTCCTCTACGCAAAGATGGTGTTCGTGAAATGTATGCGTCTCTGACAGGATCTATAAACTTCCTTCATGCGGACTGCGATAAGTTCCGCCACCCTCTGCTCCACATTCAGAAAACTCCGGCTGACTGTCCCGTCATTGCCATAGACTCGTTCAGGCACATGTATGTCTTTCCTGATTTCAAAGACCTCACGTAAGTACTTGAGTCATTTCAAATAATACAAAAGTTTCTTGCATTCCACTTCAATCTGAACTCTTATTTCAAAGATCAGTCAAAATTATCAAATGCTTTTATTTTGCGAGAAATTAGAAATAAATTTTCTAAGATTTTCAGTTTGAGTGCTCAGTTTTATGTCTTTAATAAGTTGTTTGCCACCAGTTTGAGGAGAAACACTAAGAAGTTTATACCTTCAACTCTCCTTATGTTTTCAATTCTCTGCAGCTGCACTGGATACTGACCTCAGTTCTGTTCAGAGATCTTTGTCAGGATCAGCATCTGCGCATCCAATCAAACTCAAAAATCCAATATGTCTACAGCTTCGGCCCAAGCGTAGTGAAAATGAAAACAATTTATTTGCACTTCTGAGAATTTGCATCCTATTAAAGCATTGTACTTACCAACCTCTAGTTAATTCTAACCCTGACAATTAGCAAATTTCACTATTTTTCTAACGCCCTGAACTTGTGTGTGTGCATGTGTGTGTGTGTGTATGTGCGTGTGTGTGTGTGTGATCATAACTCCAACTTCTGAGGCAAAGCGAGCTGAGCGAGGTTTGCATAAATAGCTTCAAATGTTATCTCGTGTTTTTAGTTTTTTGAGATGAGTCAAAAAACTCTGTTTTATAGGGACCTCCTCCCGCTCACATACGGTGCGACATCACTGCTTCTTTTAATGTAAATAATCAATAACTGAATAATATTTTTATTGGATTTCTTAGAATGATGTGTATGGACAGGCCAGAGCTTTCCAAAAACTGGAGGTTTGAAATCAATCAAAACTTTCTGGTTGGTGCATCTCTAATATAAGTTAATGAAATTTGGCTTAAATGGTACTTGTAATTGATAAATAAATCTTGTTTTATATGCGGTGGGAAACATTCCTTTGAAGAGTTCTGACTGATGATGAGTTTTGTGATGTATCACTCACATGCGTGTGTAATTGTTTATAATGAGATCCGTTCATGATCAAATGAATTTTGTCTAAAACACACACACACACGCACGCACACCCACACTCACACACACACACAAACTGCTGAACAGCAGATAAATGCCACACCTCCTAAAATCTGTCCTTTATGAATGGGCCAGGACACCGGAGCTAATGTGACATGATTTGGCACGTGCAATAAGTCCTAAACTAATCCAGTCTAATCTAATTTAATCTTATTTATTCTGGTCCCCCAACACACCCCCACAATCAGGCCCTGATCAGATAGACAGTAGCCTGGAGGACTTTACCAGCTCCTTCACAACCTAATTACATCACATCAGCACTGCATGTGATGCACACAGCTTGTAATTACATTAGTACACAGTATGTTATATATACATGTTTGTTTATGTGTGTCCTGATGTGTCACACTGGTGAGTTTGATGTGGCACTAGCACACGACCCGCCCATCACTCGGATCAACTCATAAACCAGATTAGATTTCTTTTCATGCTTCAACTCATCGGCTGTTTGGTCTCATGGCGTCTCTTGTCTCCGAACAACTTTGCAGCTCCACCTCGTCTCTGTTGGATATGTGTGGAAAAATCATCTTAAGAATGGAGAAATTTTTATTTCCAGATTTTATTCCTTATTTTTCAAGGGTGGACTGATTTTATGCATCCCCCCCCTCACCACAATTTAATAATTCAATAAGGGCAAAACTATGACTTTTAAATTAAAATCTGTGTATTTAAGTATTAGATGCAACACAAAGTGATTGTATTTCCCAAGCTTTTTGGTTTCCTTGTATTTTTATGGTAAATAGAGCCACATCTACTCATTGATTTATGCTCTAAGCTACACTGTAGTCCACAAAAATCTGATTTTAATTGTTGTACTAGAACATGACTAACAATAGCAAATGTTTTCAAATGAAGACTGATGAAGATCCCGTTTTGATAGCTGATCATGGACAAAATATTTATTCAGTTTTCTTCATTGAAGCTCAAAGTAATAAGCTGGTTGCTTTTAAGTTAATTAGAAAATGTTGCAAAAACCTTTTGAATCTTTGGATTTACAATTCTTTTCCTCTAAGAAAAAGAAATTACATCTTTATTTAACTAAAATAGTTCATGCTTAGTATATTGTTCAGTAGGTAAAAAAACTGCAATATTAGTGGTGATTAGTTATTTTTTTTCCCACAATAATTTCTTTTGAGCTGATGATTTTGACCCACATAACATACGATACAGCTTATCAACTTGATGTTACATTTAATTACCATTTGTAAACTATGAAGTTTAACCGTCTACGTTTCATATTTAAAGCCTGACGGCCATGTAAATATCTGCCATAAATTCATGACAGAACTTCATATTTATTCTTTAAAGATGGGTCAAAGACATTTGGAAACAGGATTTAGAGACATAAGAATCTTTGACTTCATACTGATAGTAAATGAGTTTCATTAAGCCAATTTTGTTGAAGGTTTGTTTCACTTTGTTGTATTTGTTCCCTCAGTATTCCTGGGAAGCTAAAACAGTTTGTTTTGGATCTTCACTCCGGAAAGCTTCACAGAGAGTTTCACCACGGTCCTGACCCCACAGACAGCACACCTGGACAGGTCGGCCATTTGGTTTATCCACAGGAAGTCCGCTTTTATTGTGAAGTGCTGCAGCTTTAGTTCAATCTGACTATTGTTCTCAGGAGGCGGAGAAAGAGGTGGCCAGCAATCCTCCAGAGAGCTCGTTCCAGAAGCTGGCACCAAGCGAGACCCGCTACACCATCCTCAGACGGGACCGTGACGAGCTGTGACCTAACCAGCCCTGCAGGGATCCTGAGACTCAATGCCACGCCCCAGGGTCAGGGAGGGGTCAGGGTTGGGACAGGCCAGAGGGACAGAAGAGTAACACCCAACACCCTTACTGGAAAAATGGAGAAGGAGGACGACAAAAAGAAGAACAAGGAGAGAGCGGTCCATCACATAATGTTGGAGTAGCCTATATTTTCATAACTCTTTGTCATGCAATTTTTATTTTGATTTAGGAGAACGGGGGATGAAGAAGAAAACGTGTGTGGGCAGGGATCTGGGGCATTTAGGAAATAAAGAGAAGTTTACTTTTATTTCTTTGGAGGTTGTAAATATGTTTGTGCTACGTTGGAATCACAATGTTGGTCTAAATTAAATGCAGAGTTTTCTTTATTTTATGTAGTCTCTTTGTCATCCCGTTTGTTTTTCTGCCCTGAGCATCAAACCATGTCCTCACTCCAGTTGTGCGGTTCTTATCTGTCTGTGGGTTGTTCCAGTTCAGCCTGTCTCGATTCAAGATGCTCCTGTTATCTCATTAACCTCAAGGCTGCATCTCCGCCATGACCAACTCCTGTCTAATTCATTTGTAGAGCACATGTTAAAACATTATGCCTGTTTAAAGTAGCTTTATTTCAATGTCTCCTCATCAAATAGACGGGAGAAAGAAAAAAAAAAAGACGCCTCGTAGGAGTAGCAACTTTTCTAATCGAGACTGAACTGTTCCATCCTTCTGGGATGCAACCTTTCTCTCTCTGGTACTGTTTGCATTATGACGTCTCCTCAAATGCTCCTGGGATATTTTTATGTTCTATTTTTACTGTACGGTGCCACAGAGGGGGGTATTTATCTGTTTCTGTCATTAGTAATGCCACAATTCCTGAGAAATTTCAACCTAATTTTCTTAACACCTAAAACACATAATCCCCATTTCAAAGTGCTGGTAGTGGCAGCATTATGCTGAGGGTGGACCTCTTTGTCCCAGAGTGCCTCTGGTTAAAGCTCTTCCTTCAAACCTAGTAAAAAGAATTTATCAATAATCAGAGATCAATCTGACTGGAACTTAAAACGAAAGAACCTAGTTTGTTGCTGAGGTACTAAACTGACTGTAAAGAAAGACATGAATTATTTTCTAATGACTCGGAAAACAATTACAAAATGTTCCTAAATGATCTTCATCATCATTAATTTATGTAGCTCCTGTTTTTGTTGATTGTCTTCATGCTGGGGGCGAAAACACTACAACTCTCCAAAGTGTTTTAAGGGGAAAACCCAAGCGGTAAAAATGAAGCCTGCTACTTTCCACCAGTTTTTGTTTCTTTTTAAATCCGGTTTTAGTCTCTTTTTACCTCTGTAAGGTTTTCGTACTGTTCTTGATTTCTGGGAATCAAGATGTTGGACTTGGACGTGTTTGGGGACTCATTTGTGTTGTGTGTCCTGTCCTCCCATTTTGGACCTGCATAGTGACATATCAGCCCGCATACGAAGCAACAAATGGGATTGGGTGGGGGGGGGGTCTGATGCCATTTTTTAACTGCTCATCTCAGAGGTGAAGGAGAACAAAAAAATGATTAAATAAAAAAACATTTTACAGATTTGTGTTTGTCGGAACTCCATTATTCCTGTTAGCAAGTAAAACTGTTTATACAGCAGCTTTCAAGACAAAATTCGCAAAGTGCTTCAACAGGCAAAATGCATACATTGAAAACAAGTAAAAGCTGATTTAAAAATCTGTTTTAATTAAATTAGTGACCTTATTACAGCAGGAGGAACAAACTTAACTGGTTATTGATCATGACGTCTCCTGAAATTCTGAGAATTATGCTTGGATGTTTAGATTTTTCCTTTTCTCACAACAGTTAAAAAAAAAAAACAGATTTTTTTTAACATAAAACCTAAAACATAAAGCTCAACTAAAAATCCAGTAGTGGCAGCATGATGCTGGGCGGTCACTCATTAGTATCTAGCTAAAATTAGATCATCCAACAAAAATACGCCAACTTATTCATCCCATTTGTTTCTGTCAATGAGCGACGTCTTTGCTAAAAAAGAAATACTTTATTTGACAACAGAAGCATCTCGGGATACAACAACTCTCCAGACTGAAGTGGTCTGGACTTTGGCACCAGGAGTGATACTTTGCTGCATAAATATAAGAATTATTACTTCAATTTGTCATTAGCTATTCACAAAAACACAGAAGAATAGACAATGTAGAAACCCTGCAGAAGAAGAAAAGGAAGAGGCAAGGCTTTCATCTGCCTTAGTGATGCATTGGCACAAATGTTGAAATCTCATGATTTTCTCACAAAGGCCACATTTTCACATTAAAAAAAACAGGTATAAGCTGTAGTGTGCTTTGATGCAGTAAATATTGCTGAAGAAACCATTCACACCTGAAGATTTTTACAGTCTCACCATTTGAGCTGTTCTTGGAACGATTAAGTTTTTAAGGTTATACATACCACCACCAAATGCACTTCAGCCACAGAGAACGATGAACAAGGTTTTGGTGTCATTTGAGAAAAACATTTGATGATTCTTCTTGGCTGAACCTGCAGAGTTCATTCAAATAATTTGGTTTCTTGTCGGTGATGTCATTTTAAAACGTTCAGATATTATAAACAATATCCAAGTCATCTTTGGGGAAAAGTGTTTTAGTAAGTTAATGTTTTATCCATTTCAACATCACTGTTTGGTATAATTTTGGTGTTGGAGACAAAAAAAACGTCTCCACAAAACTGTTTTCCTCACATGAAAATTAATTGGCTAGTGTATCTAAGTGCAACCGTGAAACCAGTACAGTTCAAGCCAACGAGTAGCTAAAGGAGTGACATGGAACCAACTGCGATGCATGGTAGTGGCGGAGTCATGCTAGTTTGAATTTGTGCTCCTTTTCATGCTTTTATGAAGTCATTGCGTTTTTTTGTACTTTAACCCAACCTGGGTAAACATAAACCATTTAAACAATCAAAGTGTCGGAGTCGTCCTGATGCAGAACCGTCTGAGCAGGACTGCAGGTCGCAATTAAGGCATTTTTAAACATCTGTTCAACAAAGTGCACACATTGTCTGGCGCTGAGTCTCTTCAGACCCACAGGTCCAGGTCAGTCAGTCCGCGCAGAAGAGCTTCATTTGTCCTTATTTTTCTCCAGTTCTTCTGCCGGCGGCGCCGTCAGTCGTCTCATCTGCTGGTCCACTTGAGCTCGGCGGTGTTTTCGGACCAGGCTGCCACCCGCGAAGCCCAGGGCGCCCCCTCCCACAGCAGCAGCCACCCCAGCAGCTTTGAACCCGGCCAGCAGGCCGAGAGGCCCTGCCAGCGCGCCGCCCAGCAGCGCCCCGGCGACCGGCAGCACCGCCAGCTTGTAGCCCGCCGCCTGGAGAGACATGAAGAAGAGATACGCTCCGGTTTAATTTACCTCGCGCACCTTTAGAGGCGCCGGGCCTTTGTGGCTTAAAGGCAGGCTGCGACAGGGCGAGCATGCATCTGCCCTTTCATGATCACTCATCAATCCGTGTGCAAGGCTGAAGCCCAAGTCAAAAAACATAAAATACAAACAAGCCCGCATGTGTAAATGCGAACGGACGCATCATCAAAGCCTTTTTATTATCTTCATTTAGGAGAAATCAGAGAGATGTGGGGCGCGTGTTATTACAGCTGTTATCATCAGAGTGGAAGGTGCTTTTTGCTGATGGCAATTAATGATTGATTCTCCGACCGTCCTCACACACACGCACACACACACACTCACTTGATTAACACTCGCCATTAAATTAATCTAGCTCAAAAGCCAGCATTGCTTGTCCACATCCCTGTGGCAGTCGAGGGAATTTTAATTTCATGTGAGCAAAGTTAAAAGGACTCTGGCTATAGAAGTTGTGGTTGGAAGGAGGAAATGAGCGGGTTGTATATATATATCTGCGTATGTGTGTGTGTGTAATACGTGTTTGACCCGATTACAGATTACAAGCTTTCAAACACGTTAAAACATCTGACACCCTTCTCATCTGTTTCATCTGCTCAGCCTCTACACCCACCAACGCGGCTCACAGCAGGTGGGAATTTGTTTGTCCTCTTATTCTGCTAAATTTCTTTTAAACAACCAAATTAAACGTAATGTTTTATTTTATTACATTCAGCTATAATTTACATTTAAAATGTTCCCAGTTGTTATTAAAAACCCGCCACAGACACATTTTTGGTTCATTTTCTCAGAAGTTTAGTGTAACCATTGATGGGCGTATAAAAAGAACCAAACCGCTACTGAAGTAACACTGTTAAATTGACCCACTGGATGTTTTAGACTTGAATGTTTCTTTTTTTTAAATAAAAAAAAAAGCAACGGCTCAAATCTCATCTACTCATTACCCGTACAAAGCCAAAAAAAAACAAAGAAAACCAAACATTGCCAACACCTAAATTTAATTAAACAACCCTCGGTTATTGGCACCCTGGCTAAAAAAAAAAACAAAAACCCAAATCCTTGAAACTTTTGTTACAGCAGCATAATCTCACACTGTAAAAGTTTTACAAAAACCGGGAAATAATGTTCCTTTTTTTTCCCCAGAAGCACATTTGTAGAAACCCTAAAATCCCAATAAAATGAACACCACTGAACAGTTTTTATTATTATTATTTTTAAGAATTTGTAGTCATCAGTAGTCTTTATGTATTGCTAGTCTGCATAGAGAGACAAGCATGTTTTACAGGCCCATGTCAGGAATCAAACTAGCGACTTTACTTTGAGTTAAAGCTCATGTTCCATAAATATGAGGCGACACAGATTTCTATTCTCCTACTCACTCTTCAAAATGGGAAAGTTAAGAGAACATGTAAACACGTTGATCTCCATAAATCAGTGAAAATATCTCCTCTCCTAAACTTGTACTTCAACATTAAAACAACTGGACCTCTGACAAACAAGGCTGGACTGGGACTTACAATGTTAGGACAATGAAAATGAAAAAGTGAAAAAGTCTCTAAGGATCATTTTTCTATATGAGGTTATGTTGCAGTAATAGAAGATTAATTCAATCTCAAGTTTTCTGCACATCTTTAACAGGAAAGCTATGCTATGCCACATTTATTTTGTTAACTGTAGAGAGCATTACACTAATAATTTAGCATATTTGTAACTTTTACATATTTAACAAAAACTGATATTTAAACAAATCCCTTAGGTGATGAGCAACTCAAACCTTTTTAAAAAGTTTCACTTGAGAGGAAATTTTATATAGGAACGTTCTTCTGTTTTTCTATCTTTGATTTAAAATAAATACTTCAACAGGAACATAATTACAAAAAAGGATTCATTCTGGATAATAAAGAGAAAAAGTTCAATATTAATACATATAAGGGCCAGTGACTTATCCTCTGATTTATATTGTGGGTTAATGTAGATGAACTGAGAAATGACAACATATTTATTTAAATCTAACACACACACACTCAAACATGTGGGTCCTGCCTTGTTCGCCTTATCCAATGTCTTTATCACTCCCCCCGCCTCCGTCTTCCCCCTCTCCTCTCTCTATTTCCTTAATTGCAGCTTTCCTCCATATTGGAAGGGATCGATCGGGACAAACGCAGTGGAATGGCCGGGAGGCAAAGTGCCATCGATCTCCCAAACACCACACACACTCACACAGGGGGATCATCGGGACATAAACACAGATACATAAACACCCACCTTCCCCAGGCTCCTGGTCCCCTCCTCCACGTTGGCCGCGGCTGTGTTGACGTTGTCCTCTATGCTGTCAATCTTCTCCTGCTGGGACTGAAGCATGGAGGAGCACATTAGCACACACTCATATTCCAAGGTGCACTGAGACACACACGCACACACACACACACACACACGCAGGTGTAGCGACCACCTGTTGTGCTCAAAGATTTATTTTCTGACCAAACTCTGCTCTCCTGCACGGTGGAGGCACGCGCGCGCGTCAGTATATTCGTCTGGGATTTGGTCACACTCTGTGTGCTATTGTGTGGATCTCATGAAATATTCAGAGTGGCAGCTGCCTCTCGCTCCATGTGAGGACTGGACGGACACAGGGGCCAAACAACAAGCAGAACACGGAGCTCTACCCTTCGTTTCCTCTTCCTCCTCAGAAACAACCCGCGCCTCCTTCACCTGCTCTTACTGCTCCTCTTACACCACAAAAAGGAGCTTCCTGTTGCTTTCTGATGATATTTTGCTCATTCCTGCAGAGGTCTGCAATATTCACCAGCCTCCGAGTTACGCTGAGCTGCTTTGTCGTCGCTCTCTCATCTTACAGGCTGTCATTGTTTTTGTCTTCAAATCTGAAACTTCAGAGCCTGGCAGAAGAACTCTGGCATAAACTTGTTTTTATTACAATAACTAGTTTGATTTCTTCTAAAAGAAATGATGAGTTCCTAAAAAAAACAAAAGCTTCATAGAGCACTCTTATGATCTTTTTGATAATATAAAATAAGTCAAAACGTGCATTTGCCTAGATGCACGTAACACAACAACTAAGTGGTTCAAAAATATATCTATATTTTTGCAAAATAGTTTAATATTAAAAAAAATTGCTCGAAACACAAGTCAAAAACGTTTAACATTTTTTAAAATGCTAATTTTAAGTTCCATGAAAAAAAAATGTTGAATTTAAATATTTCCCAAAATGTAATATTTTTCCAACAATAAACATTTTGACAAAAAAATATACTTTTGTCCTTTAGCCTGAAGATTTAAGAAAACTGTAAACCTTATTAAATTAGCATAGGTATGTTTAAGTTGCACAAAAACTATTAGAACTAAATAAAACAAAGAAACGTTGCTATAATCGTTTGGTTAAATTGTTAATATTTAAAACTGACAATTTGTTAAAAAAAAAAGGTTTTGCAAAGCAGCCAGTTATTTTATAAATTAAGATGTTACAATTTAGGCTGCACAAATGATGGAACAAAAAGAAACATCGGGCAAAACTTGTTTTTTCAAATTAATCAAAATTTTAATAGTTTTCAGAATTGAAATTTTTTCCCACATTTATTTATTTAGGTTTAATAACTATAGAAAAAATCTAAAGTTTGTAAGAAATTTGAGATGTTTGGAGCTAAATAAAGCTGGAACTCTTACACGCTTTTTAATAGTTTTATGTTTTTTACAAATTAAAGTTTGACTTTTATACATAATTCCAAGGACATTTAAGGTTAATATCAGATTAGAATAAATTACAAATGATTCATCTTTTGATAAAAACCAAGAAACTATTCAACTTCACAAATGATGTAAAAAAAAAAAAACTTGTAAAATGACACAATAGTGAAAAGATTTGACGAACTAAAGATGGGCTGATTTTATTTGGTTCTATAAACGCATATGCTAGCTAAACAGATCATTCAACGCTTAGAGATCGGTGGAAAGTTCTAAAGAGAAGGCAGACGAGTAAAGAAACTCAGACGCTACCGTGACAAAAACAAAGGAACAACCACACACTCACTCAGTGTTTCCACTGTGGCTCAGCCTGCTGGAATATAACTCCCCAAACAGCATCTCTCACCCTAGAGACGCCACAACATGTCTATGCTCTTTTGCCCCCCCTCTGTATTTTTTTTTCTTACACCGCTACATCTCTACTACTACTACTCTCACTCTCTCTCCTTTGCTAATCTCTCTTTCTCTCAGCCTCCCTGCTCCTCTGACTCTTTCCCCGAGGAAAGAGATAATCTGAACCGTCTGTTCTCCACCTGCTCTGTTGCATCCCTCGTTTCCCTCCTCTCCCCACATGACAACCTGCCGGCCTCCCACCATGTCCCCTCTCCTCCCTCCCTCCCTCTCGTCAACTCCGCGGCCTCTCCCCAGCGTAGGACGTCTGGGGCCCCGGCCGTTCTCTCCTGAGCTGATCTCTGAGGACGCCGCTCAGAGATCAGGGCGCTTCCTGGAAACGGTGCGGCTGAGCGGCCTCCGTCACTCTCGGGTTTGCTGCGTGTAGACGGAGCAATGCAGTCGATGCAGAAAGGTGAACGTCGCAACCTGCAGAGTGTTTTTACTCACATGGACGAGCAGGGAGAACTCCGTCACCAAGCCGCTCAGTTCCTTCAGGTCCTGAGGGAGAGAAGGGTTAAGGTTTTCTTTTATTTCAGTTAATTACTTATCAGACAAATGTACTGCATTATCTAATGAAAATAAACTAAACATCCTTTTCACTGCAATCTCCTCCATTTTTTCTATTTTCAAGAATGTTTATCCCTTTTCACTCATTTCTCCTTTTTAGAGTTACACCTCATTATACCGTGCTGTTAAAAAGAAATCACCCATATTTGCTTTTAAGTCTTTCAGACCATCAAACTAATTTTAATATCAGACAAAAATACAATACGCAGTCTCAGAATGATGCACTGCAGAAACACAAAGTCTAAAAGGTATTTTGGGTTTCTAGTGCAAATGTTATGTTTGCACTCTTGAAATAAGTCGGAATTAACCTACAGGTAAACTTTTTAGCAAGATGTAGGAAAAATAAAAGCACTAGTTCCCCCGGCAGATTATTTCACTTATTCCAAAGCATTTTCCCACGTTAGAAATGAAATAATCTCCCAGTGGAACAAGAACTTTTCTTAAAATCAATATTAGGAATTACTGATTTAAAACAAGCTCTTACACATTACTTAAACGTTATTTGTAAGTTAGTTAAAAAGTGATTACCCCTTTGTCAAACAATGATTTTACTTTAAGGAAAAGTAGGTTAATTTTCGCCCGGGCCTAATTACTAGCAGACATGTTGAGTGAAGAAACAAAACCTGTCTGAGGCCTTGAAGCAGGAGATACAACACATCACCTTCCACGTTAAAGAAACTCTGGTACAGACTGGAAACAAAGTAATTGACTTTGATCACTAAACATGGTGGTGGCAGTGTGATGATCTGGGCCTCTTTGCTAGTTTGATCCTTGAATTTTGCTCTCCAGAAAAAAACCTTGTGAGCAAATCCAGCCATTATTTCTCAACCTCAAGCGTCTTGACCTCTACAGCAGGATGATCTAGAGGAAGTTCACCTCTGAACGGCTCAAAGTGATAATCAAAGTGATCTAAAACAGACTTGAAACCTCTACAATGTGGCTGGATTAAAACAATTCAGAAAAAAGGGGGCCAAAATTCCTCCACCGTGATGTAAAACACTCATTTTCAGTTATTGCAAACGCTTGACTGCAGATGTTACCACAAAGTGTGGCACAACCTGTTCTTAGGGCACGGAGGTAATTGTTCTGGGTTCTTTTGTGACCTCCTGGGTTGATGAGCAATAGTTTAGTTTTGTTAGCCTGGACACCCCTGGAAAGGCTCATCTTGATACCATGTTTTCTCCATAAATGCATAATGACCCTCAATTCCTTAGGAATGGCTTCATATCCCTTTTCCAACTGACAGGTCTAAAGTCATTTGTTCCTCAAAGACAAGCTACAAAAAAAAAAAAAAAAGGAAAAAACTGAAGGAGGAAAAATACTTTCTCACATAATAGTTTATAAACACTCAAATATAGGTACAGGCATTTTTTGTTATGAAATTGACAAACGCACCTCTTCCAGATTATCCCAGGACTCGGACGCGTTCTGATCGGACGGAATTTCTGGAAGTCGAAGTTGAATCTGCAGGTCCGACAGCGGCTCCTCGTCTTCCTCCTCCAGATCGTGGCAGCTGCTGGACCGATTGATGGAGGGTCGAGTGTTCGGCGGCGCCGCGGGGACTGGTGGGGGCGGGTTGGAGTGCAGAAGCAGGAAGTCCTGTGCAGCGGCTGACGCGCTCTCCCTGACCGGCTTTACGAGCTCCTCCAGAGCTTCGGCGTCTTCAGATCGGACCCGGCTGCACAGCTGCTCCATCTCTCTCATGTTGGCTCTCAGTTGCTGCAGAACCGCACATGACTCACAGGTTACTCAGAATGAAATCTCGCTCTGGTGCTTAGGAAACTAAAATAAAGCTAAAATGAATTAAGTCCTTGAAAAGTACAAAAAATAAGAAACAAGACCAGCATACCTGTTGGTTGAAACAGGAAAAGGAACCTAAATTATGTTTTTATTAAAAATATATTTTCACTACTGATTCCAATTTTCCAACAGAGCCTGTTTGTTCACAACATTGCATCCTGCGTGACTGCTCTTGTTTTTAAATGTGAAACACTGAGGTGCTGAATTCATTCAAAGTTCATTTCACCTGTACCCTTCAAAATAAGACTCATTTTAGGGCAACTGAAGGAGGACTTGAGCTGAACCTGAACTTTCAAAACAAAATTATAACACAGAATTTGTGCAGCCTGCCGACTGCAGTTCAAGGATGATGCAAATTTGTCCCTTTTTATCTGGCTTGTGAGCTTTTGCTCAACTTTTACAATGTTTGTTCAATGTAAGGCTTGTCTGTGTCTGTGTGTGTGTGTGTGTGTTTATACGTGTCTGTGTGGGGGTGTGTGCTGGTGAGTGAGGAGCTTAGTAAGGTTTAGATATGAGGCAGGGGAACACGAGAAATGCCCCGAGGGTGACAGGAGGATTACATCGCAGCCATCAGCCCTCCAGGCCGAGGAACAACCCGGCCTTGTCGGGTCAACGTCCTGCCGATAACACATTCCTTTAATTACAGAACATGAATAAACATGCGCCCACACCCAGGCCTCCACGTGCACGATGCCGAAAAGACAAACTGATTAACAAGGAGGCAGACGGGTCAGGCACATGTCAGCCTGCAAATGAAGCGGGTCAGTAATGTGAGCACAGATCCTGACCCAACACAAGAGGAGACATTTTATGGATTCTGATTTAAAGACCACCCATCAGTCCGACTACCCACCAACATCTAAAAAATAAAAAACAAAAACACACCTCAAAACACACACAAACACCTAAAACAGCAGCACCTAAAACCGACTCTGACTTAATGACTTGAAGACACAGGAAAGCACTTCGTGAGAACTCCCAGAGGGGTGAGAGGAGTAATGGTGAGAGGATAGGTGTGTGTCTGTCTGGAGTTATTTCACCTTCAGAGACACAAAGGCTTCCAGGAAGCAGCATCCCCCCTCGGGGGTCGTCACACCAGCCAGGTGAACAAGAACGCCAAGAACTACTTACCACACACAGGAATTAAGGTTCCTGATGTAAATTCACTTCATTTCTTATTTAGATTTTTAGTTTGGTTTTTTTTACATTTATGGAAAATAAATCCAAATATATTCTTGACATATTGTAAAATATATTTACACTAAACACAAACCCATCCATACATCCATCATAAATAAAAAACAATTCATTCATACATTTTGTTATTGTACTTAAAGGGGCAGTATTATGAGTTTTCCAGGTTCATAATGCCATTTTATAGCACAATCAAGTAGCTATACTCTAAATATCAAACCTGGCTTAAAAGAAATTTGCCTTCCTAATTTGATAACCTCGAAATTGGGCATCTGTCTCTTTGAAACTCCACCTCTTTCTGAAACTCCGCCTTCAGGAAGTCAAAACAACACAGCTCCTCTACTAACTAACCTTTCAACATTGTTTTTACCAGCGTCACACTGAGAAGTAGCTCATTTAATGAGCTCTGCAGATGTGGAGTTCTACCAGGTGTTTGCTAATTGTTGCTGGCTAGTCTGAAGGAGCAGCGTGGGGAAGTCGTGGAGGAGGGCTGCTCTGTGAGCTGGAAATTCAGTAGCTTGAAAACTACTCTAAGGAGGCGCTGGCTCTAACCAGGTGTTTTGCCCAGCTGAATGGTTGCCATGAGCGATTAAAGGATTTCTCAAACATGGATGAAAGAATCAAGGCAACAATCCAGGTTTGTTTTTTAAGAAGAGATGACAGTGTAATATAATGTAAAGCTTAAAAAAGTCGATTTTACATGATGCTACCTCTTCAAAATGATGATGATGATGATAATAATAATAATAATAATAATAATAATAATAATAATAATAATAATATAATAATAATATAATAATAATAATAATAAATAATAATAATAATAATAATAATAATAATAATGGAGAAACTGGGTTCCTGTCTAAGAAAGAAATTAAAATAATTTCCTAAAGAACCTTGCAAATTTAGTTCTGAATCAGGCAACAAACTTTTCTTTGACTTGACTTCAGAAGGGAAATTTATTCCTGTTTTGTCGGAGAACTGCCTAGAGATCGAAGTTGGGTTTTAAGTTTTACTCTCTAGATGTTAAAGCTGATAGAGTCAGATCCTTGAAGACCTGCAGCTGCAATTGCAGTGACTTTTCTACAAAATACACCTTTGTCATTTTTTTCTATCATGTAAGGTGCTGTAGTTTGTGGCTGACCTATGACAGAGTTAAAGGCACTGTGACTGACTGTTTACTTTGAACTCTATTTTGCAGCAATAGTTTACAGATATCAAACTGGCTCTACAGCTGAAAACTAACAATTATTTCCTTCATTTAGATGCTGCCTGTACTTAAATAGATAAACCCACCAATAGCTGCCCTAAACCTGCTCTTTGATCGTTAAATCGGAAAACGTGATTGCGACAAATGTAGAAAATGTCGAGATCTAAGTTTAGGAGGTCACAAGCTTAAAGTGGTTTATTAAACAAAAACACTCTGATGCAGAGACATATGGGGTTCAGGGCCTCTAATTGGCAGTCAGTTAAATTATCTTCTAAATAAAACCTGTTATTCATTAAGTACACATGCTTTAGATGCCTTCCCTGTTCATTTAAAAAGTTCTAACATACCTGAACAGTTCTGCTGGCATTTATTTGCTCCTGATGGAGGCGCTCCCACTGCTGGCTCTGTTGATACTGCGAACACAAAAGACAAAACATGCACTTATTCCCACTGAGGCAGCATCCTGGTGTGATCATGTGTCCAGGCAGATGTGAGTCCTCGCCTTCAGTATGTTACTTTGGTGTTTCTGCAGCCTCTCCAGGTCCGTGGGCAGAGCTACTTTAATGAACTTGTTGATGGGTCCCTCCAGGCGCCTCAGTGTCAGCTTGTTGCCTTCCTCTGCCATGTGTCCCGCAGAGTGTCCACAGCCGACAACTCTGTGTAACGTCCACGCTGCACCCGAATCTCACTGTAAACACCAGCAAACACCAGCAGAGCTCCATTTTTATTCAACACACAGTTCAAGTGAATTATCTTCACGATATCAGTTTATGACATTGAATCCTTTGCAACTAATTTAGAGTATAAAACAGAAACCCTCTTTTATAACAATTTGCCTCTATATTTGATTAATTGAGCGATTTCTGCTGGACTTGTCAAAGCTTTAACTGTTTACATTAAGACGTTAATAAAATGAAGTTAACCGATCACTTTAAATGCTTCCATAAAAAACTAAAAAATAACACAAAACTCTTGGACATGAAGGTGTCATGGTATCATTCTCGACTGCTGCGCTGCTATTCTGTCTTCAAGACGCCTGTCAGAGATTTCTTAGCTTAATATTTGCTTTAAACCTATGTGAATCAGATTTATTGGAGGTCATCTAACAGTCTTTTCTTATACGGAGGTCTTATTCCTCAGCATGTCAGAAAGAGGATGCTCTTCTTGAAAGTGGTTGTTACAAATATGAGGTGGTTTCTGGTGGTTTTATGCGACATTGTCGGAGGATGCTTCTGTAATTTTATGCTAACGTTTTATTTATGTTCTTACGGCATTGGTAGAAAAAAGGTTATTATCATGGATTGTAAACCTCAAGTAAAAACATAACTGTATTCTGGTATTCACAAAAAATAAAACAAAACAAATGTAGCATAACTTATTTCCTAATTTAGCAATTTACCGCTTTATAATGAGCAGAATATTAAAGTGTTTTGTTGTTTTGAGCTTTGTAGAGTAACACCAGTTTAACAGACTGATAGTAACTGGTTGTTCAATCATGGTGTCTTCTGTTTTTCTTCCACTCAACTTTCCATCATTCTGCTTGGATACAGCAGACTAGACATTAGTTTTTCTGGCTGTCAGGTACTGTTTACTGGACCGCTGCCCAGTCAGGATGTTTTATTACCCATAGTCACTAAAATGAACAGCAATAAATCCTTGAAATAAATGACAGCGATTTCCAATACCTCTGAACATGAACACTAAAAATTATATTTTGAATCACACTCTCATTTATTCACATGCACATATTTGTTCAGCATCATAGATTTCCAAAACACCTCCAATAAATCTGATGATTAGGGCGAGTGCAAGAGTTGTGATGTATGTCAACATTTCATATGCTTGGTACATTTATGAATCAGAGATTACTACGATGACTATGCATATAAGTATCCCTACAAATAAAACAATACTGTATAATAATCTAGTATATAATAAGCTACTAGTTCTATATGTGGTTGTATGGTCGGTTGTTTACCCCACTAACAATAAAACCCAGTGATATCAAACACAGTTTTTAAAACACTTTAAATAACCACAATGGTAAAAATATAACTACTGCAAAACTCATTGGTCAAAATGTTGATTGGAATAAGAAAATAATAATTTATAAATCTATTTTCTAGCAGAGGTGGCAAACATACAGAAAAAAACTATTGGATTCTTTGTTTATACCTTTGTTTTGTCTCCAATCATTAAAAAACAAAGTATGTTCAGGTTTATTTTAAAGCAGCATAGTTGCTAAACGTGCAAAACAAGAGCATAATTTAAAAGACAATATTTCTTTCGACAGAACTTTGAAGGGATAAATACTTGGCCTGAGGTATTTCTCAGATTAAGATGAATTTAGCAGCAGTGAGAAAAGAAACCTATTCTGATAGATAATTATTATTATTATTATTACATTATTTATGCAAACAGCAACGAGAATCCGTAGCAAATCATTTAAGAGGCGAAACATTACCTGCGATTATTTTTTTCAGTTTTCATTTCCCGAAGCTAAATCGGGTCACATTTCATTAGCCTGACTGTCGCAAAAAGCTTTAAACCGAAAGTGAAATTAAATTATATTCACTGACAGCTCAGAGTGTTAAGCTAAAGGACAAGCTCTCCGAAATACGGAACTAGCTTCTTGAAGAGAGACAAACGGGCTTTGATGAACTCAAATTATCCTGGAGACAGACAGATTGTAAACATCACAGTTAAAGGACAAAACGCGCCACTTACCTGTCGGAATAAAGATCAGTGATGTGACTCATACGACCGAGACTCGATGTGAGCCTTCACACTGATCAGAAAATTTACTTTCACAAACAATTGGACTGATAAAAACTATTTCGCCCCAAATCAGCAAGTTGTATGTAAACAATTCTCTTCCCGGTGCGACACTAAAGAGTTACCGACCTCAAACGGCGCCCACAGCCAGTTAGTTCCTCATCTACTTTCTGGCATTTTTGCTCCTAAAGCTTTTAATTAATTATTTATTTGCTCATTTATTTACTTACATATATCTCTGTGTCACCGTCATATTAAATCACATATAGAGAATTGCAAAATAGTAACACAAAGCTCCATGTATTTTACTGTGATAATTACATAAAGCAAAGAGCCAGATAAATGTACAATTGAAGAAAAAACGACATGTGAATGTATTGACTTCCTTTCACTTGTATATCTTGAAATAAAATCAAGAGCAGCTAAATGCCATCAGTAGTTCTTTGTGTGCACTGATGTTAGTACGAAATGTAGCTGTTCTGTGAAGCAAGCAAGCAACACCATAAAGCCCAAAGAACAGAACAAACAAGTGAGGAGTAAATTTATGGAGAAATTACATCAATGCTCCATACAACAAAATGCATTGACTCGGGCAAATGAACTCTATGCACTTCGAAATTTTCATTTGCAACCATCCATTACTTTTCCTCCACTTTAAATTTATGCACATACAAATCCTATTAAAATACACTTAAACATTTGTGTTTGTTGTCACCTCTATTTTCACAATTTGTTGTGTATCAAAAGAAGAAGGTATATTCAAATCCCCTTGAGCTTCAGGGCAGACAGTACCAAATTAACAAAGACGTCCTGCCCCCTCTAATTTAGTACACAGTATTGCACAAACAAGAGGTTAACCATTTCTGATGATTTGCTATTTAAACTTTCACTGTCAGTTTTGATCCGCCCTCTCAGTCTGCAAGTCTGGGAGTCCCCCAGAAAGTGGACAAATCGCACTCACAGACAGACAGACACACACACACACACACAACAACAACTGCAGCAGATGGGTACGACACCAGGGGAAATCCCCCGCAGCTGGGGACGGCGTGCTTCACTGCGGCCCCTCGCATGGAGCATCCGCTGAGGGAAGAGTGTGTGTGTGTGGGGGTTGGCCTAAATGTCAAAGGTAAAAGGTGCTGAAGAATGGAAACATGCAATAGACCCACTCACACAGACTGATCTCAGAGGAGAGGAGGGGGAACCCCAGCCCTTCTCTCTGTCTGTCTTCAAAACACAACACAAATAAAAATCTCACACTTAATGTCACTTTCCACAAGATCTATCCTGTTTATACACACAGTAGGTTGAGACAGCATGACAAAAACGGAAATGTCATGTAAATATGACTTTCACCGCTAAATTATACTGGGTCTGGACTTTTATGTGAGTTTATTTGTGCTCATAAATGTGAACGAAACTGCATTTTTATCACCCTGTCATGTGTCCAATATTTTACATGTATGACCGCACAGATCAAGAGTGGAAATTCTGTGGTTGCAACGTCTCGAGATCTCCAGCCAGACGCCACCCACCTACAGCAAGAAATGCTAGACAGCCGCAAAGAGCTACCCCTTCCTCCTGAACACAAATTACTGATCCTGTTTTTCAATTTCTTATTCAACAAAACATATTTTTTCAACAATTTTATATTTTTTTGACATACACTTTTCCTCAATATTATCTGGAAAAATCTGTAACAAAGCATTTATTGTTATGTTATGTTCTACGGTCACTTTAAAAGATGTATTGGTCCAACTTATATCCCATAATATACTAATGCAGTCATGGTCATAAAAATAGCTTTCCTTTAAATTTAGTTCATGATGTTTTAATTATTATTTTTAGTAATTTTGTTTTTATCGATTTGTTCTTTATGTATGCCTTCATCATGTCTTCATTTTCAGTTTTGACAAATTAAGATTATATAATAGTTTTTTGAAAGGAATTGGTTTTACAAATGGTTTTTAGGGTAGCTTAATGGTCGTTATGTTTGGATAAATCAACATTGTGCATTATTCCGGGACATTTAGCTTGTTAACTCCTGCAATCAGGACTTCTTTGAACTTTATTTCAAGTCTTTACCATTTTAATGGTAAATGTCTCGTCATCAACAGCTGATCTGTTTCTGCTGATGAAAAACGTCCCCACAGCATGATGCTGCCACCTCCATTGTGGCAACATTAGAATACACCATTGCTTTATTGTGGTGTGTTCAGGGTGGTTGTATATTATAATATTCAAAAACACATAGCTTTTCGCAAGTGCAAAGCTTCTTTCCTGCACATGTGTTTCTTTCATAACTTCAGCCAAACTTTAAAGGAGGCTGCTTGGCTTTCTTCTTTCTGCTTTTCTGTAAAAACTAATTTTCTCGTCAGCACTGCCGCTTCCCAGATGTTGAATTGAGCTGTGCCTTCTGAGACGGTCAAAGCTTAGGATATCATTTATTACCCCAACTCTACTTTAAATCTTTCCAAGACACAGGATGTGACACAGGGTACTCTGAAGAGTATCAGAGTTGACAGGGTTGAATATTAATGAAAGCACATACTTTTCAGATATATTGGGAAATAAATGTTGTTAACCCTTCACAGTTACACACTCCTTTCTGTTGCTTTATCACAGTATACTCCAATAAATAAAACATGGTTAAAGTGGTGGGTTTGTGACCATTTGTGCCCGGTTACGTGCATATGTGTGTGTAAAGTGTGTCTGCGCGCATTAGGCCCACAAGGACTCAGGTGTGGTTTGCTCCAGTCTAATCCGGGAGGTTCATCAGCAGGAGAGGAAGCCAGCAGGGAGCTCTGCTCACTTAGTTCCTCTTGAATCTCTGTTTTTATAGAAAGGTGTGACTAACACACCCTGACAACTCACAGGAAGCGCGCCTTTTTCACAGCAGACGCATTGACATGTCGTAGTAGAGGAAACACAGGTGTTACTAATAAAATTAGAGAAGAATGCTTAATACGCAGGTGCTCTTGTGTCTAAATGAGCCTGAAGCACCAGGGATCTGAATCAGCAGCATCCATTATGTTTTTCTCTTAGACCAATGCAGAGGCTTTAATGTTTTTTTTTCCCTGCAACATCCAGAATAAATGTAGCTATTTTAGAGCTAGTCAAAAAAAAAAGAAAAAAAAGAAAAGAAAAGCAAAATCAGCTGCATGAAAGATCACATTCATCACTGCATAATCAATATGTATGCTATTTTTAGGATGTTTTTAGTAACTTCCTAAAGTATAAAAGTCTCTAGTAAATTTCTAAACAATAAAAAGTAACTAAAAGTAATACTTATTGACAGATTTATAGTTTCTATCTCTCAGATTGTGTGAAAAAATGTCTTATTTAAGAATAGTAGTCTTGTGACACAGCTTTCTTTGGTTTTGACCCAATTTTAATCACTAACTTGACCTTATTTAAACTTGATTACTTCAGTTTCATTTCAAATCATTGAATTTTCTTCTTTAATTTGTCTCATTGTTGTGAATAATGCACTTTCATTCAGATGTATTTTATGTTTATAATTTTTTAGTTTGTATTTTTTGATGATTTTGGCATAAACATTTCTTTCTTAGAATTCTTTCTGCCTTTTGTCTTTTTTAAATTGTCTTTTTTTTAATTTGTTGAAGACTGCATGAAAAGGTTTCATATAAAAGGATTAACTGTGTGAGATTTTTAAAAGTTCGAACAGTTCGAATAGTGGTAGAAAGAAAATCAACATGCATTAAGTAAAGATTTTTGAGATTCAGTTTTATTTCCAGGTCATAATCTTTAAGTGCACAGTATCTGGAATGCACTTATTTATTTGCATAATTCCTCTTTGATCCAAACCCTTACAACTTTTTCCCCCCATATATGGTTCTTTTTATTTTCCTGATGTAGTTTTATTTATTTAGTTAGTTAGTTTTTACAATGGCCAGCATTATGTATGTTCTGGATACATTTACACTCTAGGTAAAGCTTTTTTTGTTTTGTTTGTTTTTTATTGGGATGCTGGGGGGAATTCCATACTGAGAAATAATTATTTTCAATAATTATTCTGCAGCAATAAAAATATATATTTATATCGAGTGCCAAAAGTCTAATTGGCACTGCAAATACTTATCTTTTCTGGGACGTCATGTTGCTTTCTGAAGCAATTTGATCTACACCTTTTGTCCGAAAAGTTTTATATTAATGATAAGATTGCAAATTATAGACTCACAGCTTCAATAAACCTCCTCTGAATGTGAGTGTGCATGCATAATTATTATGTATATCTGAGAGGCCCTCTAATTAAGACTCTGGGTATCTGCTACCTGTCAGCGCAGATCGATTGGGTGGAAGACTGGCAGCTCTCTTTCTGTGTGTGTGTGTGTGAGCGCGCGCGTGCGTGTGTGTGTGTGTGCGTGTGCGCGTGCGTGCGTGCGTGTGCACCATGCAGATTTCAGCACAGTAAACTTTAGTAATATTTTTCCAAAACGTCAGCTTTTTGCGGAAACACTTTTACAAGTCATCACAAAAATGATCTTGGTGTTATTGCTGTTTTTCTGCATATTGATGAGACTCCCAGTCTCCATGGGATTGTTAAAGTGTTGCAAATATTATTTTATAAAATACAGCCACCAAGAATAAAAATGGGCATAAATATTATAGTTCCTTTTATTAAAGCCACCTAATATTTCTACCTTCTCTATAAAAGGCATTTTATAGAGGACTCTTGTACCTCTTCTAACTGATACACACTCTCACTGAAGGATCTGTTCACTATTTCCCTACCAGTTGGTATCCATCACTGCGCCGTTTGAGAGAGAGAGAGAGGAAGAGGCAGCAATGCTGCGTCTGTGTAGGTGCTCTCGGTGCTGCCAGTGAATGATGGCAGTGACAGTATAGACGGCATGTGCTGTGAAATGTCACAGTGCCGATCGATGTTGTTTAACGAGGCTAGAGGCTGATCTGGACCTCACGCTAACATAAAGCTCTCCTCTCCTCACTCTTCCTTCCCCTCTTCTTTCCCTTAATCCCCCCTCTACTCTCTGTGAGCGTCCGAGGGTCCCTGGGGGTGGGGTGGAGAGGGGGAGAGGCCTGTTACCTGTCAGGAGGGTTTGGCTATGACAAGAGACACACACACACACACACGCACACACACACACACCCACACACACACACACACACACACACACACATATGAGTATGACTACTTGCGAAAAGTATTCATATCCCTGGAAGTTTTTTGCATTTTTAACAACAAAAACTTCTAAGTATTTAATAGGAATTTTATGTGATCAAAACAAAGTAGTCCAAAGTTTCAAAAAGTTGCGAGGTCACTTCTGATGGTTTGCTGTGGAAAGAAAGGCGACAAAGTTTTGAGAAGCATCAGGGCTCTAGAACTACGGTCTCGATGTACTGATTAGGGATGCACCGACTTCAAAAAGCCTGACCTGCCGATTCTGATTTTTATTTTCAATGTTGCAAAATATAGGAAGAAAATTAATGAGTTGGCAACAGTGGGGCAACTATTGCTAAGTGCAAACATGCAGACATGACCTGGCGGGTCTGTCAGTCTCTCTCCAGGAAGAGCAAAAGAGGACAGAGGTTCATTTTTAGAACTTTGCTGAGGTATAAGACCAGCTTCAGATTTAAGTATCAGTCGATCACTGATCCAATAACTAAGAAAATTGGAGCTGATTTATCAGTGCACTACACTGATGTTTTTATTTTTCTTCTGTACAGCACAGATTTGTAATCTGTCTTGAAATGTGCTTCATAAATAATAATTCTATTTTTTTTCACTAATATCCCTAAACTTCAATCTAACAAGACACAGCCTTCAACGTTAAAGCAAGGAGGGCATTACAAGAGACCCATGGAGAACTTTGGAGGAGCTGCACAGATTTACAATTAAGTTTGGAAAATTTATTGACAGGACAACCATTCAGTCTAAAAATGGAGAAGTGGTGAAAAGAAATCTATTATGAATTGAAAGCCAATAAAGTCTGCAGGGGAGGAAGTTACTGTGGTCAAATAGGACCAAAAACATTTGGCCAATCTGCAAAATGCCACAAGATGGACATTCTGAATAAACTATCCCAAGGGTGAAACATGGAGGTGGCAGCATAATGCTGTGGAGTTCTTCTCCCTCAACAGAGGCAAGGAAGCCAGTCAGAACTGAATACAGGATGATCTTGCTGGAAGAAAGGACTTTTACAAATTATTGTCTCAGGTGGCCAGTTACAATCACATGCCACAATTTTGTGATAGACTGAACCTCTGTTCCCAAATTAGTTTGTATTTTGCACTGCATCGTTGGGCATTAAGTCTTTTTACACATTGGATCTGGTTTCACCTGGAATAAAGACCTCTGATATTAAAAACACAACAAAGTGCTACTAGAGGGTATATACACTCTTTGAGAAGAAAACAAGTTTGCATTTGTGCCTTGAAATGCAAATGTTAAAATGTTTTTGTATTTCATGAGAAGTTAACAATAAAGAATCACAACACAGGACGCAACAGGTCAGAATAATCAGAACTAGTTTATGATTTCAAAGTGCTGAACAGAAAATCCAGTGAACAAAAGAGAGAGAAAAAAAATTATATATATATATATATATATATATATATATATATATATATATATATATATATATATATATATATATATATATATATATATATATATATATATATATATATATATATATATATATATATATATATATGTAGAACAGGAAACTCAAACCAAAGAATACATTGAAAAAACAGCAAGTTGTTTTCTTTTTCATTTCTCTTCTTTTTAAGAAAAAAGAAAATGCACAAGTTGTACCACAATGTTTGAAAAAGCTAAAAACACTTCAAAATATTAGTTTTTATTTATATATATATACGTATATATATATATATTTATATTATATTTATATATCTATAATTTGCTTCGTTCCTTTTAAAACTGCTGCTGTGAGGGTGTGAGTGGGCGGTGGAGGCCTGGGGAGATCCCCGCGCAGCAAACGCAGCCGGAGCCGTTGTTTTGAAATGCGATGGCAGCTCTCGGCAGCTTGCACCACGATCCTGACCTCTCTCTCAGGCTCAGGGACTCCTGCGCAGCATCCACGACAGAAATGTAAAGAAACAAAAAAAAGAGCACAAACGTGGAATGTTTAACCCGCAACCCCCCCAAAAAACTCCTCTCTCCTCCCTCTGTCCCTCCTGGATCTGTCGAACGCCCCGCGGCCCGGGGGGCCCGGGCGTGTGTCTGCACTCGTAGCCCTTCCTTCTTTGTAAGTGCTTTACAAGCCAATCTGTGACCATGTGCAAACGCTCCTCCACATGTTCAACCCCAACCTGTGATTTTAAAATGAGATAATAATAGAAAACAAGAAAACAAACAAGCAAACAAACAAACAAAAAAAAAAAAAGACAGATGAGAGAGTTCAAGTCTGGGTGACTCAGTCATGGATCGTTTAGTGCACAGTTTGTCCTTTGCTGCGTAAAAAGCCACACGCAGAAACAAAGTCTTTGTATTAAAATAATTTAGAGTTTGAAATTAGACCTTCCCTCCTCCGTGTCTTCCTTTTTGTGGTGAAATTGCACTTTGTAATTAAGAGGCTGCCTCCTTCGCCACTTCCACGTGTTTATGAAATATTTGTATGTGTTTCTGCCCTTCATGTCTGACCTCTGACATTTCTCTACACTTCAGTATGAAAACACGACGCTTCCTCTTATCGACAGGCACAAACTTGAGTCTCACAGGGGCACGAACAGCTCAGCAAACCTTCTGCCCCACAGAGACTTGATCTTTTCTGAAAAGAAGAAGTTCTTGGACAGAATGAGCGAGGCCAAACACAGATTAAAACAGTACTCATAAACCCTTCTTCCTCTTTTTGTTTTTGCAAAAGTGAGCTGCCACCCAGATGGAGAAAGGACAGGAACAAGTCATTCTGATGTGCAACTCAGCTTCATCATCCTCCCCCACAAGACAAAGAGTGGAGGATCAAATAAAAGGTTGCAAAGCGTCTTTGAGTTATTGTCTATTTTTCTTTCTTTCTTTTTATTTTTTTTACAGAAGAAAAGCATTTTTGTTGGTTGTCCGTTTGGTTTTCCTCCCCCACACTGAGCGAGAAGCCTTGGATTTGCTCTCTCAGCTCTGCATCGGCCAGAACAGAGAATCTCTCTTTCTCTCTCTCTCTTTCTCTCTCTGTCTCTCTCTCCCCCTTTTGGGAGTCGTGGGGTCAAAAGGCCTGAACAGGAGGTTGACGTGGGTTTCTTTCACCGCGCTCAGCCCGAGTCCTCAGTAGGGCAGGGTGTCCAGGAATCTGTCGATTGACGGCGGCGGCGGTACGAGGTCCTCCAGCTTCAGGTAGAAGATCCGCTGCAGGCCCTGGGTCCTCTGCGAGCGGAGCTCTGCCCTCAGGCCCAGCACACGGCTCAGAGGAGGCGTGGTCTTGGTGGAGGAGGAGGACGCCCCGCAGCCCAGGTGGTCCCTGAGACAGCAGATGACTTTGTTCTGCAGCTCCTCCACGCGCTTGGAGTCCTTCAGACCCGGGACTTGATCTGCAGTAAGAAAACAGAAAACATTAGAGCTCCAATTTAAACCGCAGAAGCAAACTTTTTCAGTTTTTTGCCTGCAACTTGCAAATATTTTATTAGATTTTTCATGAAGATGCGTTGTTGTGATGCATGGTTTTCTAAGATCTTTTGGAAATAATAATCAACACACTAATAAAGATATGATACAGACATACAGAAAATATAATACAGAGGAAGCTTTATCTCATTAGGAAACTTTGAAGCTGTTTTGTACTGCAGATTTGTTTCGGTCAGGTCATTACCAACTTTTGCAGAAGAGATCAACCGCAGCATCTCGCAAAAGTATCCATTCCCTTGAGCGTCGCTGTTTTCTTTTTTTTCTTTTTTTTACCCGGGTTGAACCACAACGAGCCTCTACATCCAGCCTTTAACACCTACAGGCTTGCCATGCCTGTCACTCTCTCTATTTCCCATCAAGCATCTTCTGCAGAACAGTAAGTATTCCCGCATTATGAATACTACCCTGCTTCAATGTGGAGGCAGTTTGCTCGCTGTCAAAAAGTTTAGTTTTGGTCTCATTTTCCACATGTTTTTTGTGTCCTCCTGTGCCACACTTTCCAGATTTTTATTTGTAGATGGATGTTGAAAAGCATCTATATATTTTTTCCTCCTCATAATTTTGAACTACTCTCTGATGGTCCTTTACAAACAGCCATTTTTATTCCTAAAGTCACTTTCTGTTTCTGTAAAAGAGTTAAAATGGTACAAAGAAACTGTATTTTGAATGACAAAAACAAAACCCACACATGTATACATCAGAGCTCATTCAGGTAAAACAGCATTAGCCTCATTTTGTTTTATATTGAATTGTACCTCATTAGCCTGTATGGCTCATGTTCTTAACAGCTTTACGTTGTCTCATTCACTGCAGATCAATACGTCGTCTAATCTAATAAGCCTCCTCCACATTGTGTAGACAAACACACACACATGGTGACATGGCATAGAAAAATAGCACAAACATGGAAATAAACGCATGCTGCGCATTTACCGCTCATAAATATTTCAAATGAACGCATACAGATGCTCAAATAGGCCCTGCAGTTTGGCAATTTAAGACACAACAATGCTCAACAATTAGCTGATTATTTGGCCTTGTGAACAGCCAAATTCAATTAGGGATACACATAAACACACACACACGCACACGGGCTGCAGACTGCTGCCCATAGCAACTCCAGTGGCACTCGTATCAGACTTAATGTGACACTAACTCATTCTGCTGAGAACAGGGTGTCCACCCCCCCACCAACATACACACTCACACACACACACACACACACACACACACACACACACACACACACACACACACACACACACACACACACACACACACAAGACAGTGTATGCTGCGGGGAGGCTGCCTCTGAGACCAGTCTCACTTTGAGGTATCCATTATTGGAAGTGTATTTATTGTTTGTTTATGTGACCCTTTTGTTTGCAGTGTTTGCGGCTGCAGAGTTACTCCAGCCCTCCTTCCACTGTGCCTTTCAGACCTCTTGCACTCCTTTTTTCTCTCTTTATTTTGCTTCTCTGCTTTTCTCCCTGCTCTCTTTCCCCCATTCCTTGTTTCTCTCTGTGCGGCACTTCCTGGGGAGAAATCGATGAGGGCCCTTTCTGCACTGGCCACTCTGAAGCGGTCGATCGGCTGGTGGCCCCGGTGGCTCTGCCGCGGCCGTGCGCTGTGTGCTTTGCCGAGGTGGCGGAGTGCCACTGCGAGAGCCGCGGACGCCGTTCCAGAGCCTTGCCCCATGGCGGGCGGGTCGATGGAGAACAGAGTTAAGTGCTCCCCCAGAGAGAGAGAGAAGGAGTGAGGGAGGACGGGGTTGTAAGGTGGAGGTGGAGGGGGGGCTTTTACCCGCTGCACATTAATGTCTCACTGCAAAATTGAGCTTTAAAGAATAAAAACTCAGTATATAATTTCGCTGCATCGTTTGTTGAATGAAGCTACATTTCTAATGCATTCTGCAGACGGCACGACTGCTGCATCTTCCCGAAGTCCGCCCGTGGATAAAGTGTCGATTTTTCAGCCATGGCTACTGATTAAAGGGGCCAGGTGTGTGGCAGGTGCAGCAGGTGCTTCTGGGTATCGGGTTCTTGTTTCAAGCAGAGGTGCGTGACAAGACGCGCTGACGTGTGTCTCTGAACGTTCGTGTGACATCAACGGATGTAAAAAAAACCCCAAAAAACCCACAACCAAAGCTTCTAACAAATTGAAAAAAATATATTTAGATATACATATAAACAAGCACTTTCGTGGTGGATATAAAAAGATTTAGCACCCCTGTTTAAATGTCAGATGTTTTAGATTTAAAAAAAGGAAAACATTTAACCAGCCTAGTTTAACTGAAAAGCACAAATCTGTTCGCACAATGAATGTAAAATTAAAATGTATAATAAACTGGATTTATATGTGTAAAATAATTAATTACAGAACTTTGTGACTAAATTTCCACATAAAAGTTTATTATTTGGAAATCTATCAACATCCCACTTCTTAACTTGCAAATATTACTTTGGTAAAGTTCTCCATATCAATCAGATTTTGCCCAAAGTCTTTTTCAGCTGAACCCACAAGTTTACCATCAAGTCTATTTTGAAAAGTCTGTTTTGCTTTTTAATCGGATGTGTACTTGGACTCGCTGTGATGTAGAAAAATTTAACTCCTATTCATTATTCAACTTCATTTTAATTTCATTCACCAAGAGAAAAAGTCCAGTTCTGAAGAAAAGTATCCCCAGAGTATGATGTTGCCAGCACCATGCATGAAAATGAGGTTTATTTTATTTCTTGAACCCAAGTCTAGATGTCTTCTTAAAGAGAAAAAAAAAACTTCCCTCTCTCTAACTCCTACTTTTTACTCCAGACATATGGCAAATACAGATATTTTATGACACCTTTTATTATAGATTTATGTCCAGGTGAGTTTGTTTTGTAGGATTTGCTCTAGATAAACCTGATTTAAAGTGAGAAACTATTAAAAAATTATTTCTAAATGTCTTACTTGTTACATCACTAAATGTAATCTTCGAGATCCTGAGCGATTGATAGGAAGTTGTATGGATCAGGTAACTGTTTACGTATTTGTTCCTGCAGATGATTCGGGGGTTTTGGTTACCTGTGAGCAGAACGAGGGCAGACAGGCAAGCGAAGGCAGACGCATCGAGGTTGAGGGTCTGAAGGTGAGAAGAGAAATCCCGGATGGAGTCCAGCCACTCTCCAAACCCACGAAGGCACTGGAATCTGTGCAGCACCAAGCCGTTGCAGAACACCAGCTTGTCCTCCGACAGCATAGACCTGAGAGACAAAAAAAATATATAATAATTATTAAATTTTTCATAAAAATGCTGTATTTTTCTCTGATGCATTCAGACATACGAAGAAGGAAACAATTACACCAGCAAGCCAGAAACAAGACACACATCAAACAGAGGCATGAAGCTGATTAAGCTTGTGTGTTTTTTAAATTACAGCATTTAAAACCACTCTTGCATTTCCTTGTGGCAGGGTGGGGTGAAGGGTTAGGGCAGAGGCCTGCTCTGTGTATGTGTGTGTGCAGATAGGTAAACTGTTACAGCTTTAATGCTCCCAGGCTGTGGAGTGCAGTGGAAACACAAAGCTTTAATGAGGAAATGAAAAGGCCTCTCGGATGCATTTAACCATCAGTTACTCACGGCACACAACATCCCGCTTTTATTTTTTTTTAACTATCCAGCAGAGCAGGGAAAGGGGGGGAGCAGACAATGAATGACGCATAGGACAGATGGGAGGTTGGAGGAGAAAAAAAAAGAGCGAGAGGAAAACAAATAATTGTGCAGATAGAAAGAAAAAAAATGAGGATTAGGGAAAAGACCTGGAAGCCACTAATTACAGTCTATACAAACATTGGTTTAAAAGTTATGAGACTAAGAAGCAGCAACATTTGTGTCTAATTATCCTCACTACAGATTAAAAGATTTACCCCCTCAAAGTTTTAGCCCAATGCACATAATTCAGGCTTTTAAACATGCATTAAAAAAATGTTTTATCACTTTGCAAGCTTTGCAAAACATGGATGTATGGATTCAAGAAACAGCATGTGAAAAACAGTTTGCGTTGTTTCCAAACATTGTTTTTCTGTGTTAGCATTGCACTTTCACCCTTATCCCTCCACTCACTGTAATAATATTTTGTTTTTTTAATTCTTTTAAAACAGTGTGCATTTTCAACAAAAACTTGCAAGTCACCAAATAAATACAGGTATCAAGAGATGCGACGCGAGGAGCTTTCAGCTTGTTTTTGACTTCATCCCTTCTCACCATCTAGTCGAGATGAAAGATCTCAACAGGAAACTTCAATTAGAAACCTTGAGAGGAACCTTTGAAAAGCATTTCATAGCTTTCATTCCTCCTGGTGGTTTCTAAAATACAGAGTGCTCAGAAGGACTAACACCTGCTTTTGGATCATAATTAAGCACCGGCCAGTCATCAGGTTAAGCTGATGTTCTATAAAAGTTACTGCTTTTAAAATCACATTTTAAAAGTGATCCTGGAGAAGCGCAGCTTCACTTTGTACTCACTGCAATGAGCACAAAGTGACCCACTTCTCCCCCTTTCCAAATTGTTGCTGCACAACAATTTTCCTCATTTACAAGAAAAAACAAATTTGGCTGACAAATAAACAACAAAATAATCACGGCTTGTTAAAATCGTGTTGCGTTATTCAAAATTTACAAAATCGCAACTGGCTTTGCAATACCATGATGTGCAACATCACAGTTGCAAAAGGACTGACTGGATGCTGGGATGACATTTTAACTTTTAGAGTTTCATTCAAACTCTATATTCTAGGCTGTCCTTTATGTCCACAGCTAGTTTAAATCTTGGAGACCAAGCTGTTAAAGATCAGGGATGATCAATGTTGTAATTGCAACACCTGCTGCTCTAAAAGATAAAATATCCTGCACAATAAGATTTCTAAAACTAACCTGGATAAGTAATATATTTTTGTTCTTTTTTCCAAAAACTCCCAAAACTTGCTTGTCTGTTTTAAAACCAGACAAGCAAGTGACAAATGGAAACAAGCTAAGAATAATTCAAAGAAAATGAAGTCTGTTCTTCTTTCTGATCTGATTATTAAGTCGATGCCCCTCAGCTAAATGCTCAGCTTCATTTCATAACACCGCTTGGCCTTCGTCTGGTAGTGGCACATGATCAGCACTACACCGACGGGCTGGCAGACAAGCAGCCGGGCAGATGCACACTCACGCTCACGCCTACACACACACGTACACACACGTACACGCACGCAACGCCGCTGGATGTCTGCCACACATTCCACTCCCCCCTGACTACGCTGTCACCATGGTTATCAGCCAATAACCACAGAAACTGTTTGGTGACGGAGGGGATCACAGGGATGTGGATCTCACAAGAGCGAAGCAAATTTGCTCTGTGCACGCTGAACACACACACACACACACACACACACACACACACACCCACATGCACTCAGGGTTTAGACACACGCTTGTGAGTGCAGGAAAGCGTTTTGGTTCAGCACAGGGTCAAGCAGAGCTGAAGCGATGGGATCTCAGTGTAGCACGGAAAGTTAGACAGGGCCAGATTTGTGTGGTTTCCTCTATGTTGTGGGAGTTAGGTTGATAGGAACATGAGAAGCGCATGCATGGGTGTGTGCGTGCGTGTCTGTGTCCGCCCTTTGACGTGACTCAGAGTCACCCGTCCTGCTGGGACTGTGATGCCACCATCCATCCTCTTCCCACCCTGCACCTGGACCTCCATCGGGAGGAGAGAAACTTCGACATCGTCAGAGAGTCTGAGTAAGCGCTCCTGTGTTGCCTGACTGTGTTGGTCCTCTGCCCTAGACGACAGCTCAGACAAAAGGACGAGCTTGTAGCGCCATCTCCCCTCCTCCTCCCGTCCATAAATTTAACCAGCAGCATGCCTCGCAGGAGTGGACCGGTAACCCAGGATAACTGAGGCTGAGTCGGGCCGGGCCAGCAGTAAAGGCATGGCGTAGTGTTTCTGCGCGTTCTCTATCTTGCAAAGGTATTCTGCACCTTTTTTTCCACATTACAATCACAAATTTCTGTGTATTTTGTATTGATTTCACATGATAGGACAGCACTGGATTTGGGTGCACTTCTATTGTTCCCTCCTGTTGCAAAGTAGAACCAACTTTCACTGCAAGTACAGCTTGGGTTTAGGTCTGGGCTTTGACTGGGCCTTTCTAGCAGATGGATATTGTTTGATCTAAGCCACATGTGTCAAACTCAAAACGCTCCATAGCTTTTTATGTGGCCCTCATGGCTCTGGAGGGCCACATAAAAACACAACCTTCAAGATAAGAGCTGTGTGCTTGACTTTTATTCTGTTGAGAAAATCAAATCTGTTTTTATTTATATTCTGCAAAATTAACTCATTGTGAAAAGACACTTGTACAAGAAGTACTCATGAATTGCAGGTGAATCTAGAAAAGCATCCCTCCATCATGATGCTTCCATCGCAGTTTTTAAAGTTGGGATGTCTTTGGAGTGATTTGCAGTGTCACACTTCGTCCACACTCAATGTTCTGTTTATGCGTCAATTTTGGACTCTTCTGACCAAATCACTTTCTTCCCCACACTGCAAACCACAAAATCTTACCAAGTATTTGTTTCTAGTTTCCAGTTAAACTTGGTACATTTGAATTAAGAGAAAATTAGCTCAAAAGTGCTTTTGAGTTAATTTTTAAATAAATAATTTCTTAATATTGATGGAAAAGTTCTAGTTAAAAGTGAAATACGGTGGAACTATCACTTTTTAATAAATATGAAGGAATGATAGACCTAAAACAAGCTCCTGTCTTGTTGAAAAATAAGTTAGTTTTGTCTTATTTCGAGTGTCGTGATTTACTTGCACAAGAAACAAAACGAAAATACTAGTTTGCTATTTTGTTCTTTATTGCCATTCTTCAACAAAGCCAGATTTTCGCCCCCCTATAATTATCTTGTCAACAGGTCCTTCCACCTGAGCTGTGGATCTGTGCAGCTCCTCCAGCTACCTCTGCTAACCCTCCAAAAACTCATTGAAGTTTTTGGTTGTAATGTTACCAATGGTGGTAAAAAATTCCAGCGGTATGAGCCCTTGTACAAGACTCTTTGTGATCCAGCTCTTTCCTTTCAGTCAGCTGATCTCAACACGCATTTCCTCCCATAGCAACCCTCTCCAGCCTCTCAGCTGACCAGCGTTTCGATGGAATCAATGCTGTCAGTTCATAGCGTTTACACAGTTTTAGCCTGCAGAACACACACACACACGCGCGCACACAGGGCTCTCTGTGCGTCAGATATCAGACGAGCGGAGAGGAACTCTGTGGGCGTCGCCACTGTCATAGCTAAAGTCTCCATTCATAATTCGCTTCATATGGTGACTACTCAGCTGCACTCCTCCTACTCTGGAGATACACCAACACAGCGGCGCACCGGCTTTACAAGAACATTTGCTCACTATAATCCATTATGTTTATAAAATGATGAAAGATTTTTAAAATTAAAAACACATACATCTGTCTTACCTGTATGCAAGTCGCAGGACAAACAGCTCCAAAAAGGCTGAGTCTATGAGCAGGTTCTGATCGTCACGCTGGAGCTCAGTGAAGCCCGGCAGCCGCTCGGCCCAGCACCTGGTGGTCTCCATCGAGATTGTGAGCAGCCTGTAGAAGAGCTGGATGTGTTCCGCGTCTGAGGTGGAGGTCGGAGGGTCGGCGGCGCTGAACTGTTTGGGTGCAGGGAGAGGAAAGAAGTTGTAAAACAAGACCCAGCGCGAAACAGACTGAGCTTTTCGGTCCGATGGGGACAGCTGGGAGTGGGGTACCTGGCTGTAGTCAAGGTCTCGCGGTGTGCAGTGGGAGTAAGCCCTGAGCAGAGCAGAGAGCAGGCTGAGCGGGGGCGACGGAGGGGAAGCCTCTGTCTGCAGGGGGCTCTTTGGTTTGGAGGGCAGCCGTCCTCTGCGGCCCTTCAAGCTGTCAGTACGGACCACTGTGAAGCAAAGAAAGACGAGGAGAAAATTAGAATCTTTTTTTTTCCTCCAACTTAGTGACCCGAACTCATCAGGAGCTGTCCAGCGTTCCCACCTTTCCCACACAGCAGGCCAGCAGGTGGCAGCGGAGCTGCTCTGCTGGCACATGCATTAGTGTGGCAGGGGAACATGAGCGCTCTGGGTGTATTTGCATTGATGTGCTGTGTGTATGTGGGTGGGGGTATTACAGGACGTCTGAGACAGGTGAGAAACCTCAGGGGAACGAGGACAGTATGAGTGTCACACCGATTTTTCACATTAGAGAAACATAGCGCAAAGAAAAACAGAAAGGATGCATGATTCTGATGGCCAGACTTAACGCTGTTGTGGTTTATTTTGTAAGGTTGGATTTTGTCCACAGCGTGAATATGTGTGGTTTGGGTCATCACTGGCCTCCTGAACACCAGCAGGAGGGGAAAATCACAAAAATTGTTACATTGTTGGACATTTTTCACATTTTGTGACAATTTAAACACAAACTTTAATATATTTTCTAGGCATTTTATGTGTTCATTACAGTTCATTTATATCTTTTGTGAAGGCCTTGAAGGTTTAGTGAACAAACAGAATCACAGCTCAGGATGGAGAATCTGTCGCCACAACAACTATCAGTGGACCAGTTAAAACTGGACTTAAAGAAGAAAACCATGAGAAAACCACCATCTTTACCCTAACCTACTTTTCTTGCAACGGGTAAGGGAAGCTGATTAAATCAAAGCCTATACTGGTGAGAATGGCCTAGACAAAGTCCAGATCTAAATCCAATTGAGAATCTGGGAAAAGACTAAAAACGTATGCTCACAGATGCTTTCTGTCCATTATCCCGAAAAAACTAGCAGCTGCTGCAACAAAGCACTGACCCAGGAGGGGTAAATGCAAATGCATGCCACACTTTTCAGATTTTAAATAGTAATAAATCTCAATCCATTTATTTCCATTTTACAATCATGCACCACTTTGTTGGTCTACCACACAAAATCCCATTGAAACCCACCGACAACTGGGGAAAAGAAAGTTGTGAACACTTTAGAAATCAGGATGATGTTTTATGTGAGCAGTTTCTTTCATGTGGGATGCTCCTTACCTTCTTTCACCATGCCCACGCTTAGGCACTTCTGAAAGCGGCAATACTGGCAGCGGTTGCGCCTCCTTTTGTCCACAGGACAGTTCTTGCTGGCCAGACACACATACTTGGCGTTTTTCTGCACGGTGCGCTGGAATAACAATAAAAAAAAAAACAAGACATGCCGATGATCAGCCTCCAAACACAATCAGCACCTAATATTTGATTTGTTTAATTCAATTTTTCCTCCCCTATCGAAGAGCAGGAAGCAGAAGCTCGCAGGTCAGATTTTAATTACGCGCTGAAAGGCGACGGTGACATCAGTATAATTAGATCAAATTAATTTCCCAACAAGCGTCGCCTGCAGCAGGGACAATTTTATTACAGCCGGAGCCGACAATGGGGGGCCGGAGCGCGTGGCGTAAGGACCCAGGTCCCGCGAGAGGAGGCTGGGAGGGTGCGCGCGGGGAGGGGGTGGGGGGGAGTTTTTGTGTGTGTGTGGGGGGGGGGGCGGGGAGCGGGGAGTGGGGGGATCTGCGTCATCAGATTGTCCGTGAAGGCTCCCGGGTCAGCTCCTTTTCGGAGCAACGCGCATAGCTTCGCGCTTCTCTCAGTGGGCCCCGTGGGTGCCGTGTTCTCCTCTGCTGCGTGGCCCGCGCTGCTATCGCTGACCTTATTAAAATGAAAAGCAAAACCAGCCACATGGGAGAACCGAATGAACCCGGAGTTTTCATGAATCAAAGGCAATTTATAATATCTGAGAAGACAACAGGCATGCGCCAGCTTCTAATATCAGGAACAGGTGGCAGGTTCTGAGGTACGTGGCTCCCCGCCCAGGGTGCTTTTGTTTTACAGAGCGGCAGTTTTCTGAGGCTTATTTCATGTCCAGTGTGAGTATGTGTTCACAATTTGATAATAGTTATTGGAGACTATGCAGCAATACTTACAATGACGGGTAGGCTGATGTCACACCCTCTTAGCAGAGGTGCAAGTAATAGCAAAGTAGTTAAAAGTAGCTGGAAGGTTGGACATTCAGTCCTTTTTTTATTATTATTAGTTCAAACAAAGGATGGTGGAGGTGGAGTGAGAAAGCCAAGTTTACTGACTGTTTTTCCATTTAGATTTTTACAGAGCAGAGTGACAATTTGAAGCACTTTTGTTTAAAGTGCTCAGTAATTATTTGTTGGTGCAAACAAGCCACAAAGCAACATGAGATTGTTAACTTTCAGTAAAACCTTCAGGGGGGGATCTTTACAGAAGTCTTTGACACATGGGATTAAAACTCATTAAACTCCCTTTTGAGTTTTTCTTTCTTTCTTTTTTCTTTGGCCTGAGGTGCAGATATGATAGAGCAAAGAGGTTCCATTGAGAAAAAATAAAAAAATAAGGGCAGGATCAGACCAGCCCCGATCATCAGCATGCCCGACTGTGAAGAGCAGCCCTCGTTTCTAACCGAGAGCTTTAACTCTTTTCTTCATTCTGATGTTAAACGCACACATGTGTTTAGTACAGGCATCAAGCAATTACCAGAGACACTCAAAACATCCCCTGTGGTAATTCCTGACTTCACATGATCGCAGAGGCGCTTGTTAAGTGCAAATGCTTTTATTTGCAGACTGTTTACATTTTACACGTTGTCAAGCTGTGCCTCCAGAACAAGCCGTAAATTAAACAAACGGAACACACGGAAAGTGCCGCAGCCTCCCATTCTTCTCTCAAACGCCTCGAGAATGTATCAAAACAAATAAATCCAATTAGGAGACCCTCGCGCCACACATGCCCGCGTCCCCAGAGAGACCAATCACGCACCAATTACACCGGTGCGCTGCGCTGCGCGCGGCTGCGGAGCCGCGGCGCGTCCAAGGAGCCGCCGCGGCCGGATGAGAGCGGTCGCCATGGCACCGCGGCGGATCACGGTCTCAATGGCCGCTGACCTCGTGTGCGTCGGGGATGAGGTAGTTATGGCTATTAACGGAGCTTATAGGGAAATCAGCATCCGCTCAGTGAGGAGGAAGAGCGGCCGGGGTGACGCAGGAAGCCTCTGCGTGTCAACATGGGTTCACACCCCTAACAGGTTGCACCGCAGGGTCAGCGGGAAACGGTGGCGCCACCGAAACGGGTTTGGAGGTGGGGCTTGGGAGTGTCATGCGTTTTTATTGCATAAATATTTATTATTTTGGTACTCTTGCCTCAGTACATATACGTTTTGAGTTGCTTTGTTATTGTTAATAATAATAATAATAATAATAATAATAATAATAATAATAATAATAATAATAATAATAATAATAATAATAATAATAATAAAGTACTGAACGTCCAGCCTTCCAGCTACTATTAACTACTTTCCTGTTATTTCACCTCTGCTAAGAGGGTGTGACATCAGCGCATTTTGATTCATGTCTGTCACTCACTGAAACCTCCTGATCACTGAGGAGAAAGGCTGTGGGATGCACTCACAGTATTCCTGCTGCGGGAAATGACATCACTGAGATTCAGGGCTGCTCGACTTAAGATATGTGTGGATTTGATTTGTTTCCCTGCAGTGGATTGAGAGCAACAGGTTTAAAGAGGCGCCTTAAAGGCTGAGTTAAGTCTGGCTGTTTGACAATAAAGTCTGCAATGTTTGACTGCAAAGTTTAATGTATAAAACTTCGAAGAAAATCTTGAGTTTGTCGAAATCTCAATAAATTAACATCTTGTAACACAGGTCTGGTCTGTCTTTAACCTGTGATATGCGTTGCAGATCAGCATATCTGCAACGCATATCACCTTGTTTCCTATACTTGCAGGTTAATGCTCACCAGACCAGTAGGGGGCTCTCAAAAGCAGAATTTGTTTTGTTGTTTGTTTTCAACTTCATCAAGAATGAACAAACTTTTGAATTTCTTCCATAGTTTTCAACAGAGTAGGAAAAACACCACTTAGTTAAATTATTTAACATTTAAATTCCTGGGACAAGTTCACAACCTGTGACTGGCTTAACAGCAATGTTTGGTGGGAGGTAATTTATGCTGCTGCTTTAGTTTCATATTGCGTTTGAGTCACAATTTATGCACACTGCAGGTGTCAGACAATAAGTTTCTACAAGTACTTGAAAAAAGATGTAAATCCAAGCACAACTAATTAAACCTGCCTGCCAGTACAGACTGTGTAGTCTGCATTAAAGTGTTGTACAAATAAAGAAGAAAAGAGGAGAAAAAAAGTCCTCATTTTAGAGATTTAACCAATTTAACCAATTTGCTGCTTCTATCTTTAGATTTATTCAGTAAATATTCTCTAAGGTGAGTGACAAACTGTGAATGTGGGAAAAAAATTAGTCAGTTCACTAGTTAGAGAGTGTGCATGAAAACAAAGAGGGTGAATCTGTGGGGGCTCTTAACTGCCCTCACAAATCAAATTCTGGTCGAAGCCTCATTCAAGCTGGGGACGGCCCTGACTCTGTTTTCCATTTATGTGACCAAGAGGATGATGCCATGCAAACTGTAGGTTACATTCAATCTGCCATGTTTTACTCAAATTCCAACTAAGTTCTAGTGAATTCACACTCTGAACCTTTGTAGCCCCAAATCGTCTCTGGGAACTAAACGCGCTTCAAGCTGAAAACGGTTCAGGTGAAAAATCAACCTCTCAAATGAGCACAAATGTAAAAAAAAAACAGCACACTGTGGGTGTTGTGGGCCCTTGATGGAGCAAGCAGAGGCAGATTCTTGACATGTAACATATTTGGTTTAAATTAAAGCCCTGTAGGGACTTTTTTTTTTTTTGCCACTCTCAACTTAAATTCTTATTAGTGTCTTTGTGGATGAACAAACAACGTTGATCTAAACTTACAAAACAGCAGCTTATTCCTGTGCATGTTGACTAACTTGTATTTCGCATTAATGCATTTAAAAACACACTTTTACGCAGCTGCTTTGTCCCATTCGGCCACATAACTAGGTCTGACTAACTTGCTTTCCAAAAGATGGAACATGCAATTTCTGTGCAGGAAGCTCAGCTGATGAGCAGAGCAACACCGTTGTGCATAAAAACATATTTTTAATGCGCTGCTCCTTGCAACAAAATGCGTTACAAAAACAGGTGAGATGGAGTCAAATTTTAAAAACACAAGCTGAATAGATTCACTTCATTACTGAAAACACACACACACACACACACACACACACCCATACACACCCACACATACACACACAGTGAATGGCACACATTATTCAGCCAAAAATAATAGAATGAGGGACAGAAAAAGTTGCTTAACATCTGAAATTAATTCATGAGGAAATGTGCTCCGAATTGCATTAATAAACTAGCAATAATTTACAGCTTGCCTGCTCTGTGGATTAATGTGTCATAACTACTCGGAGATAATTAAATATAATCAGGGAAGTATTTCAGGGTACAATAAAACCATCACGATAATGGAGGTAATGTGCATAAAAATATGTAAAAAAAAATACATGTATATATACACACACACACACACACACACACACACACACACACACACACACACACACACACACACACACAATATATATATATATATATATATATATAATATATATATATATATATATATATATAAATAAAATGTATTATATATACATTATATCACAATATGAAAACCTCCTGTTTTTCTTGCATATGAAGAAAAACAGGAGGTTTTTCTTATTAGTGCTACAACCTAGAGTCAAAGTGAACAAAGGAATTTTAACATATATGTTTCTCTTTAAATGTGGTTGCATGCATGTCGCTTGCACATGTTTGCATCTGCATGTGTGTGTGTAGAGGAAGCACAGCGAACGTAGACAGACTCTGTGGGTGCTGAGTTCTTTAACAAGCACACACACACACACACACGCATGCATGCACGCACACAGACACCGACACAAACCCTGCAGCCTGCTGCCGTCAGACACTGTTTTCATTAATTACTAAATAAAAACAAATTGTCAACCTAATTGAAAAGAAGGATAATTCATTTCCACCTACCAGAGGCATTATTCAATTACCTCTGCACCCTCTGTCTTGCTGCCACTTCATTTTTGCTCCTGCAGAAAGCCCTAACAAAGTGTGCTGGGATTTTTTTAATGCAGAGATATATAAATTAAAAATACATATAATGCAAAAGAATTACACTACCTGAATTTAATGTCTTTCTACTTGGAGCTCTTGTGCCACTCACTTATTTAAAGAAAACCCACCTCGCAACTAATAGAAAAATGTAAAGGTCTGGTGCATTTTTATCACTTGCGCGTTGGACTTGAAACCGTATCTTGCATTAGCACGTGTGCGGTGATTTGTGATGTCTGGCAGCCAGAGCGAAACGCGCACGACTGAATCATTTGCGGAGCCCGAATTTCAACCTGACTCATGTTGGACGTGGTATTGTGTCAGTGAAATGTGGTCAATTTCACTGCTGCAATCCTGACAAGCAGAAAGGAAACTTTGATTTCAAGTAGGAGACCTTTTTCCACTGCACACTCGCTGCGCTGTGTTGCAGACAGAGAATAAGGGCTGTTATCATCCTGTGTTCTCAAATAAGACAAGCCACCACACACTCCTGGGGAAATGCAGACACTTTGCCCACTTGGTTGCTGGGAGAGATGACCCCCTGTGGGTGTGCTGAGCTTTCACTATGACTGTGAGGATGATTTAGAGAGCGGAGAGGAAGGTGTGAGAGTGGGAGCAAGGCAAGAGCAAGAAAATAGTTTCAAGAGAAACACGTCAGTTTGATGTAAGTTTGGAGGAGGTGACTGTGCGCGTTTGGTGGGATGGGGTCAAAGACGATGGCAACAGGAGAGGATAATGAGAAAGAGAACAATTCAAAACACAGAAAAGCTAAGGTGATCAGAGATTTTCTGTAGCGTTATCCCTACATTTAAAGTAATATTTTTGATATATGCTGCTTCTTCCCCTCTTGTTGTTACACACTGCCTGTCAGCTGGCTGCAAGACAGCTGCTGCACTTTTGCTTTTCTTGAAAAAAAAAAAAAACATCAACAAACTAATTTCTTTGAAAAAATACCCAATTTTTAAAAACAATTAGTGCAATAACAATTGAGGCAACTCCATCGATGGCTTTTAGGAAGGTAAATCAGTGGATTTAGTTAGCTTTGTGTAAAATGTGCAAAAAGAAGGACATAAAAGAAACAAGGCAAGGTCAAATATGTTCATACTTCTTCTTATCTCCTTTTCACACAAATAGTTACCTAAATACATATCATTGTAATGTGAATATGTTTGAAATAAATAACTAAATTAACTAACTTGCTGCTGCATGGTGCCAGTCAAAAACTCTGGTTTTTATATTAGCTTTTAATACCATCTGAGACTTTAATGGATTTTTAATGTATCTTTATCACAGCTTTTAATTTGGGCTTATTGTTTTGTTATTTATCTATTTTATCACAGCAGTGACTCACTTCGGCTGTTTTTACATGTTCTTTATAAATAAACCAAGCAGTAATGCTTGGTTTATTTATGTCTGTGTGATTGAGGGCTTACAGATAGGACATATATGTCCCACATCCATGACATGCAGCAGTGAAATTGACCACATTTCACTCCCACACTGTTGACTCACAGGTTGTATTTAAAAACTTTAGAGTTTTTACCTTGAAGAAGCCCTTGCAGCCCTCGCAGGTGCGTACGCCGTAGTGCTGGCATGCTGCGTTGTCCCCACACACCGCGCAGGTCCCCTCCCCCTGTGGACCCCGAGGGGGCGGCGAGGGCAGGCTGTCCCCTAGCAGGGGGCCACATGGTCCCAGAGCCAGAGAGCGGAAGGCGAGGCTGCTGCCCCCAGCCCCGCGGTGCAGCTGGTACATGGGTTGCTCCAGATGCTGGCCGTGCGGGTGGGACACTGACGAAGAAGATGAGGACGAAGAGGATGAGGTGCGAACTAGCCCCCCTCCGAGGCTCTCGTAGCCGCCAACGCTGCCGCCGCTGTGAGGCGGAGAGTGCTGGTAAAAGTGCGAAAAGCGAGGGGACTTGAGGGGTCCCGACTCGAGGCCCGACCCCATGGAGTGAGGGTGAGACTGTGGGCCCAAGGAGTGTTCATCCCACATGAAGGAGGTCCCAGGCTGCTGTGTCATGGATGGGGTGGTGGGGGTGGATGGAGGGGACTGCTTAAAGTACATGGTGGTGGAGGTCATGGCCTCCATGGGCGGGGCAGTTGGGTAACTGTCCTCCTCCTTCTTAATGGTAGGCCTGTGGGGGGGCATCTGGTAGAGGCAGGAGGACTTGGGCTCGTAGCTGCCCTCCACAAAGACGTTGAAGCTCGGGAGGGAGGTGGTGGCAGCAGCAGAGATCTCACCCCCACCCAGGTCCAGCTTGGTGTAGTCCGGGGTCATAAGGTCAGAACTGTAGCTGTCACCCTGGTAGCCAAAGGACTGGCCGGAGTAAGCAGAGCCTGGAGGGGCCGGCCCGTACTGAGCCTGCACACAGGGCATGTCTGCGGGGGGGCAAAGGGCATACAGACAGGTTAGAGCTACATGATACAACTCAGTCACGGGATTTTTATTCAAAAAGCATATTATTGGGTTAGTGGAGTACAGTAGAAGCCTATAGCAACAATTGTTAAATAGATATGCAACATAGGGGTGGGATTTTGAGACAGATGCTACAATAAGTCTAGAGGAAAGAGCAGAATCTATTAGAGGCTCGTGCACATCAGCCTACCAGTCAAACAATGACTGAAAAAAACTTCTGCACAGCTCTATTGGAACAGGCAGTTTTTAACTGGATGCACCTTTTCCCTGCCTACATCCTGCCACGCAGTGTCATTCATTTCATGTCATGCTTTTACACGCCTTGCACTTGTGTTGAACAATTATTCAGCAGGAATATGTGAAGCCCCAATAGGCGCAACTTCAAACCTAAGTGATTTGATCCACGCGGTTAGTCAAGTAAGGAAGGGGGAAGAAGCAGCTAGATTCAGATCCAGTTATTTGTGTGTGTGTGTGGGGTGTGTGTGTGTGTGTTTTGTAGGTTGGGTGAGCACACTCTGGTTAGTCAGATGGCAAAGCAGATGAGATAACATTAAATAATAATGGAACCCTATGGTGGTGTTGGAGAAGTCCCACATACACATTCACACACATGGATACACTGATAAACACAGACAAAAACAGATATTTGCCCTAACTGAGGCAGACGCCAGCCGGCAGGTCTTGAGTTATCCTCTGATTTAATTCAGCTGCTGTCACAAAAACAGGCCACCTTTTGAACTTGGGTTGGCCATCACATTTATCACTGCCACTCTGGCTGTGCGATTCTGTTGACATTGATATCTATTGATATTAGAGTTACTGCCATCACTATCTACAATAACTCTTTAAAGAATTTGAACATTCAATTTACCTTTGAGATCGATAAAGGATTTTTGAATTGAATTAAAATGAATAGCACGCATGTTGCGCTGTTCAGCCTGGGAAATGTACAAACTCTGAAATGAAATGTTAAATGTTCAATTTTTGTATATAAGAAAATAACCAATAAAAAAAACTCGCTAAAAAAATGATTTCAGTTTATTTCACAACAAATATTGTCTCGAGGCACATCCACAAAAAAAAAAAAAAGAAAAGAAAAATTAATTTCAATTAAATCACATAATCCAGTTGATTCTAGGTGCATCAAGTTCAGCTCGTGATTCAAATAAGTAGTTTTTGTACTCTGATGTCAAATTTTCCACGTTTCTAGTTGGAAGTACAGAAAGAACTCAAAATCTCTCTAATTTACCCAACTGGGAAACCTCAGTGCTCACTGACTCGTAGCATGTCTCATATGACTGAGCGTAAAATGGAAAGTATACACCATGTATCTCATTCAGCCAGTGGCACAAGGAGAGCTGAGAAACATTCTTGTGAACACGTTCCTTTTGTTTGTGAACAGATCTGGAGAAAAACACTATTTGTTGTCTGACATTGCGAATGCTAGTGTGAAATTCCTGCTGGCAAAGCTGGAGGCTGTAAGGGAAGCCATCCAATATGGCTGCCATACTTATTAAAATATAGTCTTTTTTTTTAATGAGCTCTTATGACTGTTTGGACGCTGTTAAACCAGTGGCACACTTTAGCAGGCCACTGAGCATCTATTTGCAGACATGTTTCTTTATCTGCTGTTGTCTTGTGCTGCTGGCACAGAATCTGTTTGCAAACCTGACGTGACGTGATTCTCCGATCTTAAAACAAATGGAAAGCGACACGAGGACGCGCTCAGCTCGGGGGTGACGTCATTTCCAGGTCCCAAAGCGCAGCTTTTGCTTTCAGTCCTGGAATGTGGAATCTGTTCTGGTGGGTTTAAATAAAGGCGCCGCCATCAAATCAGTGTCAGCTATTTAACTCCACTGCTCAGACACTGAATAATTCGGAATATTCACACAAATCGCATTGTCTTCTTTCCATAAATAATGTAAAAAATTAGGAAATAATTTTTCTTCTTTACTTTTTATTTCAAACTAAGGCTCTCCAAGGACGCCTGTGGAACTGATTCCCACTAACTCCTCTGTTGTGCGAAAGGAAAAACTGAGACGGCCAACCCCGATCGACCCCCTTTTTTTCTTCTTTTTTTTTTTTTTTTTTTTTTTTTTTAATCAAAAGACGTAGTATTCAGAGTTCATTTTCCGTCCTGTCGGGACTGAATGCCAGCTCAGCCGGAGGCTTGTTGCGTTCGCTCCTTTTGTCAACACATCGGCTGCTCCCAATTGACGCCCAGCGCGCACGGACGCACGCACTCTGCCGTAATCACCACGGTTCCCCGCGCGTCACTCTTCCACCCAGTCAGGCGCGGGACACGCAGGTCCGAGGGCGCTAAACCAACCCCCCATCTCCTCCCCACCTCTTCCAGTCCGTCCGAGCGGCATCCTTACTCCGACTCGGTCTGGGGAATTAAAGCCAATTAACTTCATTTGCAGCAAAAACTGAAAGTCCGGTAACTCCATAAAAACAACAACAACAACAACAACAACAACAACAACAACAACAACAACAACAACAACAAAACACTGTTTCTTCTCATCAGGTGGCTGCAGACTTCGCCAGAAAGTAATAATAAGACAATCTGAAAGCCGCCTGAGTGTTTAAATTTGCGGTCGTAAAAGCTCATATAAACCGCTGACGACAGACAGACTGACAGACAGACAGACAGACAGACAGACAGACAGACAGACAGACAGACTGATTGATTTAGAGGCTCTGGCGCAATTAAAATGTACCTGAAGGGTTCTGCCTGAAAGACGGATATAAAGGATTAATTAAGAAAGATCCATACATGTATTTATTTACTCTGCGTTTTATATTAAAAATAAGAATTTGAATATTTAGCAGGATTTTACATTTCTTTTTAAAACTTTTTTTTTATCTCAAGTTATTTAAGTATCTACACACAAAGCGCTAAGGCAAGCCTATAAACCAATATAACAGGCTTTTATATATACATATATATCCAGGATATGAGTCAAGCTCTATGCCTACGTGTCCCTGACGTCATCGTTTTTTTTTCTTCTACGCCACGAGTGACCATCTCTCCAACCCACGTGGAAAACCACGCTTTGAGCAATAAGGGCGTCACGGGGCCTTTCGGTGCAAAACCTACAAAGTTTTATTTCTCTCTGCTGCATCAGAGGAAGAGTGAGGGGCGGTAAAGTCTGAGGCTGTGCTGTGTCAGTAGGTCAAACCCCAGATAAGTGGTGTGAGTGCAAGTGTGTGTGAAAGACTCCCAGCACCTGCCATGTCCTGACACACCTTGCAGCAGCTCATTAGGCTGTCAGGAGTGTTTAAGTTGAAAGGTTTTGTCGAGCTGACTTTGCCTCAGGTGAGCTCCAGAAGAAGTGAGAAATATTAAAGATGAAACATTTTCACGTTTGTCTCTGTGAGTCATATTAGTAGCTAATGCTTTGGAGGAGCATTGATTATTATTATTATTGTTGTTGTTATTATTATTGTTATTTCTTTTCAAATAAAGGCATGCACCCACATTTTTCTTTTCTCCACCATTGACGTTCAGGATGTCTGTGTGAGCTCATTGTGATAATAACACGGTTCTCCTCATCCTGAGCAGAACCTGTAGAACCACTTCTGTCAAAACTCAACCCTCACCAACACACACCCAGCTTCACAGACTGAGATCCTCCTCCAGACACATGAGATTTTTTTTCATAGGTGAAATTTAGATTTTCTGTAGACTTCATCAAATCTCCCTCCACTTCATAAAATACACCCGTGTGCGTGTGTGTGTGTGTGTGTGTGTGCGTGTGCATATGCAAGCAAAAGGACAGACAACCCAAGCAGAATCAGACAAAAGGGGGTGCAGCGTACAGTGAGGCAAAGGGAAACAGTCTCTAACCTCGAGATGTGCATTTCAACTGGACAAACTGCAGCTGTTCCAATAACTGAGCGCGCCTGTTCATTGTCAGAATGCCATAGATCTAACAAATAAAAACATGAAGTTGCACACATCAATTAGAAAGCATTTTTTTCTTCTTCTTCTTCTTAATACTGTCAAATAAATAAAACAAAATCAAATTCAGAGGCCTCTTTACACACACGGAGAATAAAGTTATAGATGTGTTGTGAAAATACACAAAAGCAGACAGACGCATTTACATGACAAGCCTTCAGTTTGAGGGGCTCATTGTAAAGTGCTGAAACGAGAGTGTGTGAGGTTCTCAAAAGAATACTGAAACACACCACAGAGCACCAATGTCTCATCTTAATGACTGAAATGTCACTGACAGCAATCCTCCAACGCACACACACACACACACACACACACACACACACACACACACACACACACACACACACACACACACACACACACACACACACACACACACACACAAATCTTACAACTCTTAATTCTTTATTTGAAGGGGGGAAAAAACCAGGAGAATTTACTCAAGTCGTGTTTGATTAAATTCAGATTTAAATTATGATAAAGCTTCTGAAATGTGAAATTCACTATATCTGCCATCAAACACACCGCAAAAAAGGGCGCAGGGAGAGCTGTCACTGCAGAAAGCATCAACTGAAAGAGAGAAAGAAAGAAAAAGAAAGAGAAAGACAGAGAGAAAGACAGAGAGAAAGGAAGAAAAGAAAGAGAAAGAGAGAGAGAGAGAAAGGAAGGAGGATAAAGAGAGAAATAGAAAGAAAGACGAGTCCAAGTCTTGTACCTGGTGAAAGAGCTTCGCGCTGAATGGTGCTGGGTGTCCGGGGTTTAGGGGTGTCGTGGCTGCGGCCGGGGCAAGGCTGCTGGAGCGGGGAGGACTCGGCGGACGTGGCACAGGAGGGATCCGAAAGCCGGGGCTCCGAGCTCGGCTGGGCGCGCTCTTCCGAACCTGTGCCTGCAGGACCACATGTGTGGGTTAGAAGAAGGGAACTGAAAGAAAAGGTGGGTGATGAGTCCCCTGTGCAAGCAGCGATCAACAAAATCCAAACACACACATACAAACAAGGATTGATACTATTATTGCCACAATTTTTGTAAACTTGCAAAAGTCTGTTTAGCAAATTCCAAGAACCCAATTAACTCTCTTAAAATGTAAACTGGGAAAATCTGCATATCAAAAACTATAATAAAAAAAAATCAACTCAGTTAATCGTTGATTACGAAATTATTTTTGAAAAATCAATTCCAGCAGATAAAGTGCAACAAATCACCTAAAAAGACGCGGAGAGACATAATAGAGCATGAAAGGAGCTGCAAGGTAATAAAACAATAAATTACAACCGGAATAAATGGAAATCCTCTTGGATGTGATGGCAGACAAATATTCACATCCCATTATCAAACACTGATTGATTTTAAGACTAAAATCTATGCTGCAAAGTAAATATTAGGAACCACAACTAAGGTCTATCGGCTCATTTCAGAAGTTGCACTTACGTGGGCGACAGGTTTCATTCTAACGCACAAAAAAAGAAGAAGAAAAAAAAAGAGCCCTCAAGAGTTATTATAAGATAACCAGAATGTGCGCACCAAAGAATTAATTCAACAAGAATAAGTTGTAAAAGGAACATCTACACACCTATACAGGTGAATATTTTTAAAAACAGCGCGTCCGGGCCATCAGTTCTGCTGCCTCTGATCTCGGCTGTACCGGTCCGCTCAAGGTTCATCCAGAGCGGCAGACTTAATAAACTGGAAGCGCTGGGAGAGTCGGACCTGAAACCTTCTCAACCAGCGGGGCTCCTGTGTGCTGTGCGCCTCCAGCTCCCTGTCAACTGCAAGAGGACGCTCGGATGCCGGCGGATTTCAAGACCCAGAGCGCCCCCTTTCTGTCAAACACTGTCCTGTATGCACTGTCCTGTCTCTCTCTCTCTCTCTCTCTCTCTCTCTCTCTCTCTCTCTCTCTCTCTCTCTCTCTCTCTCTCTCTCTCTCTCTGTCTCTCTCTCCACAAGCAGAGGAAATCAGTGGCACGGTTTAAGTTGTAAGACCACTTACTGTCGTCCAGCGGCTTTATTTGCGCAAGTCACAACAATCGTGACAGGGGGCAATAATCGGACCATCATTCGGGTATTAGTGTCAGCAATATTAATAATCTCCGTGACAACCGTTCTTTTTTTTTTACTAGCACTTTCTCCCAAACTAATTCCAGTTTTTATTAAAAAAAAAAAAAAAAAAACATCACAAATTTGCAACTATTTTGTGCTTCTGTTGGTCAAGATGTTCTTTTTATAGTCCAGAAACCTAATGCATCGTATCAAATTATACAGAAACAAACAAAAATAGTTGTATAACGTTTATTTGATTAGAGCTGATGTGGAACAATTAAGTCATTATTCAATTAGGCGTATAGCCATTTGAGTGGGCTTTGGGGGGAAAGAGAGAGAAAAAAACCCATTCATGTTTGATAAGAGCAGGAAAAAGATGCTGCTGTTCTTACATAACTTCTTGAGGTAAAGATGGAAAAGTGCGTAATTTACGCTCTTATCTCGGGCTTTTAAATGTTCATCAGCACATTTTCGAAACTACGACAGGGTCTGTTTCTCAAACTCGTCTCCTCTCGCTTGTGCCTCGTCCTCAAAAGAACACCGCGAAGGAGGGGATCTGGCCCCAATAACGCGCTCACCCACCAGTAACCAAGAGAACGACACAAGAGCCGCAAAACACGCGCCCCGGAGCGCCGGTGTAGGCCCCGGTAGCCCCTCACACCAATAACCCCGGACAGACAGGGGGCAAGAGAAGGCTTCCAGCAAACAGAGGGAATATAAAGGCGAAAGAGAGAGAGAGAGGAGAAATATATGAGTACTGTAAATCAGCCCTGAGAGGGGAGGCTGTCAGAAGTGGCTGCCTCTGTGCGTAAAGTGTGCTCAAGCTTGGTGAGTTTTGCCCAGAAATGTCCCAAAAGCGCAGAAGATATAGATTACAACGTGCTGTCAACACATGTCTTCAAGGGAAATATTACTTCAGGAGCCAGAAATGTAGAAATGCCCGTGGCTGTGTGTTTTTTTCTTTTTCTTCCCTCTTAGACCATTTGGAATAATGTGACTGAATCCTACTTTAAATCATTTGACCGAATTAGAAAGTCTTCATGTTTTTTCCATGTACAAAGATAAAATAGATACATAGACAAAACTAATACGGCAACATTATTTTCCACGAGAAACCAGCATCCACTCACACTACAGCCAGATTAATAATAATGATAAATAATAATAAAAACACCATTAGCGACACATTTCCTTCATAAAACCCTGAGAGTCTAATCTAAAAATGGAGAAGGGGATGAAATCAAAGAGTATTAAGTCTACTCTCCCAGACCCTGCGTGAATGCAGGCTGGACTATTCTCCACTCAGACCCATTTGTGCGTCTGACTCCTCTCCTCATTGTGCCAGTGAGTGAGAGGCATCTCATTTCCATGACAACCAGAAAGGATATGATACCTTCCCGGCGCAAATTAAAATCGAGTTGAGCCTCACTTGGAAACAACACACAAAGACAGAGAGAGCCTGGCTGCAGCGGGGCGCGTTCATATAGCAACAGGTCAGCGGCGCAGCGCACGAAAAGTTGAGGGAAAGCAAAACAGGATGCTGGGGTTTAAGTTTAGTGTGACATGTGGTCGAGTTAATGTGCAAACAGCTGCTGGGGGTTTGTTATCTGTCAGCCTAATAGTCCATAGAAGTCAGAATACGAGACGATTCATTCATTCATTCATTCATTCATTCATTCATTCATTCATTCATTCATTCATTCATTCATTCATTCATTCACTTACTGGTTTGCTGTAGCGGTTCCGTCTTTACATGTGGTTATAACCTCGCATGAAGTATCCCCGTTTCCATCCAGGATAATCACAAGAAGTTACAATAAAGTGGGAGGAAAAAAAGGTTTGAAAAATAAAAAAAAAACAATATTCAGAAGAGGCGCAAAGTCACCGGAGGTGAACTTTCGCGATCGTCTCAATTTTCCGAAGCACGCAAAAGAAGTTTGTACTAAAAACAATAAAAAAAATAGGCTAATAATAAAAACAAAAAACAAAAACCAGAATCAATAATAATTAAAAAAATAATAAATAAAAGCTCAAACTCTTGCGTCCGCTCCTGGCAGCTGCGTGTTGTCGGAGCTGCTGCTGGGAGCTTTTCGGAGTTGTAACGCGGCTTTGTTTATGTGCGCCGTCTGAGGGGAGAAAGTCAAATACTGCATTTATGAGCGCTCTGCCTCCACATTAGAGCTCCTGGTATGCGCTACGTCAATGTGACGCCATGGGAGAGGTGACGTCACTCCCTCTCGCGCTCTCCGTACTGTACGAGACACATAAGCCCCGAGCGCGTGTGCCAGAGAGAGAGAGGGAGAGAGAGAGAGGGTGGAGAGAGGATCAGTCAGACAGAGAGAGAGCTACACACAGGCGCTGTTGGTTTGATGGTTAGAGGACAGGAAACTGAGGGGGATCCGCTGGGTGAGCTGCACTCAAAGCTCTTTTAAACCTATCTACATTTTTTTTTCTTTTCGCTCTTTTTTTTTTTTGAAATATGAAAAAAAAATGTTTCGAAAGGTCACCTTGAATCTGTCAAACAACCAGGACTTTCAGCTAATTATACTGTTACACTTTAAGACGGTTGCTCATGTTTCCCGTTTGCCACATAAGAGAAGTTAAGAGAGGTCAGCTCAGACTGGAAACCAGCGAGAGCCCTGGCTGAAGGAGCGACTTCACGTATAAAATAATTGACTTTCATTTTAAATAAATGCATTTAAAATGATTCAATAAATTAACATGAAAATAAAAGTTTCGAAAAAGTTCAAAAGTTCATAATTAAAGAAGTTTACAAACCAGAATGAAAGAAGAAAATAGACAAAAACCATAAAGTCGAGCCTCAAAGGAAAACCAAATATCTTATAAAAGAGGGTTAATTCATTATGATAGCTATTCAGCTATCTTTCTTTTTTCTTCTGAAAATCAAGACAAGCCATGAACCATATGACCTATTTATTAATTCACAGTGTGTGTGCCAGCATATGGCAGAGATAAATAACATTTGAGGTGTTATGATAGTGTTTTAACATAACAAACGGTAGAAATGTATGGAAACAACTGGAAGATTGCATAAATAATGTTTGCATATATTGTGGCCACCCAGTGTTAAGCCACCAAAGCAGATGAGTCAAACTGAACTGAAATTTTACAGCAAGTAAAAGTAGTTTCAGCTTAATCACTTACTAAACTGTATTCTGATGACTAAATAATAGAATTACATGTTGAAAGTAAGGACGCTGGGCAGTTATCTAACACAAAGGTTCACACAGCAAAGGGGATTTTAATCAAGATAAAGCGCAGAACTTTCTTTTTTGCAATCTGTTGAGTAAAGGAACATCAGTGGTGGAAGAAGCAGTGAGATCACAGATGTGAAAAAACAGGCCCCCATGGTCACAGACGTGCAGAGGGGCCCCCGCCCACAGAGGAACAAGACAGACAAACAGAAAGAGACGCAACGCAACCACAAACCAGGCAGGTACCGTTCTCTTTGCTTTGTGCTTATTATTGGGGCAGCTCAGAGTTTTGCAGATTTAACGTTTCGGTGTTGTCATTTGTCGTCTTTCTACGAGTTTCCTTTTATTTTGTTGCACATTTCTGCAACTGCCTGTAATTAAATGTGTTTAAGAGCCAGTATTTTGTCCGCAGCAATGGGTCAGTGTGATCTTTTATCTGATAAATATTGCTGACTTGTTGGTATAAATGTTGCCATCTTTAAAGTACAGTGATATAAAAGTACACAACGTGTTTAGCTGTTTGGAAACGAATTTTGAAAAGATCCTCTGCATTTAAACGTTGGTGACTACCTCAACTCAGCATTTCGAATCTTTAAATATTTAACATTTAGATTCAATTTGATCACAATTGTTTAACACGTCACTTCGTGAGGTTTTTTTCTCATGATCCGAAATGATGATCTCACTCTATTTTCTGCTACGAAACTCCTCACAATAGGATAATCTTCTGGAATCAGGCTGCAGTGCATACCACCTCACTCTGCCAAAGCACGTGCCAAATTAAAATTCTTGAAATTATGAAACAGCTTTAGGAGAAAAAGGGATTATCTCGGGCTGATTTTAGAAACGCTGACGTTTAAATCGGATGATGGCTCAGTCTTGACATTTCTCATGATTTATATATAGCATTTACTAAATTCTCACTAGTTTAATACCTTTCTAATAGTCTTTGGTTACCTGGTGAGAGTGCCAACACATCAGAAAGAGGAACAGGCTAATTTTAACTTGGTGAAAATGACCTTAGTTGGGATTACATTTCGAAAACATCATAGAATGCATTGAAACCTCATCACTTTTTTTTTGTTGATTTAAAAAAATATGACTTTTTAAAAAATGTTATTAAAAAATTTCATACAAAAATATTTTGTAATATTTTTCAATATTTTAATTTTTTATTTTATTTTATTCGTGAGTTTATTTTTTTTATTATTTTTAAAAACCAATTGTTTTATTTTTTGCTACATTTCTCTGAATAAATGTATTTTTAAACAGATTCACTGCATTACTTTCATTTCAGTTTCTGAACAGCTTTATAATATTCTCAATGTATTTTTAAAGTTGATAAGTGACTTTACAAGCTTCACTTATATGTTCGAATACATAATTATCGTTATTTCATTTCCGTTTTAATCTTTTTCTGTCACTGATTTTAATTGTCTGTATGTGCTTAAACATGTTTAAGATTCTGCGGCTGGGCCACATGTTTAGAAAATGCCATACATTTGATGGCCGATATGAAGAGAGCAGCGTGCTCAACAACCACAAAATTAAAACAGTCCTCCGGAGAGTCTCAACTGTAATTCTCAACCGCCAATCACGAGGCGCGTATTCTCGGGTCAACGTCCTTCTTCTGACCAATGATGAGCCCCCAGGGGCGGGGCGGTTCTTGACGCACTGAGGTTCCTGATTGACGCAGGCCTGGTTGCTAATTTTAGCTCCTGCATGTCCGACGGAGGCAG